GAAGTACCTGTCTCCTTCGTGCCTGTTGAGAGGGAGTTAGGTCGTGGCTAACGTAAACCGGTTGACCATTGTGGCGGAGCGTCATTTTATTTCTTAGGAGAGAGGCTTTTCCAGATTTGTTTGTTTTAATGAGGACCGGTCTGGGGCGTACGTTTGTGTCCTCTCTTGACGCTTTAAGTCTCTTTTGAATGTATGAGCATGTGCAATCTCACGCAAGTCCTTTGGCAAATTGTTCCATACAGCTAGGGAATGAGAGAGAACATGGCGGCTTCGATATGGACCTTGAGCAGAAGCAAATAAGAGATAGAATGGGCGACGAGCACTAGAGCTAAGAGAGAAGTGACATGCACGAAGAAGGTGTGGATGAAACTTTATAACGTTAAAAACCAGACAGAGGGCTCCAATGTGTCTGCGCCAACTGAGGGATTCCAAACCGGCTGCACGAAAGAGCTCGGATTTGGAAGTGCTCCACTCAGCTGCGCAGCCTTTCCGGTACAGGTATCGTCTAGCGACCTTTGCCTGAAGGCGGTCCAGTGACCCGGTATCTCGTGCAGGCACGCCACAGAACCAAAGCTGGCTAGCGTATTCCGCCACAGCTACAGGCCGAACATATCCGCGGTATAAAGGGTCGTCCGTAATTATCGAAAAATTAAAAAATCCGTCCTCGTGCAAAATTGTCTCTGACCCACCCACCCGGGTACCACCTCCCATTTTTTCCCATTAATTATTTTTTGATTTTTACCGATGCCCAGCTCGAAAATAAGAACTCCTGAGTCCTGACCCCATGTTCACTGATTACACCTACATGTACATGTACATGTATGTCAAGTACTAGTACTGTAACTTAAGTAAAGTGAGTAGGTCTACCGATGGCCATGCACGTCCTACAACTACAAAAGAGTCATGTACCGGTATATCATGCTGGTGTTTGCGATCCTACACTACGTCTACAGTGCACTATACATTATAGCAATAAAAACTGCTTTATGGCAGTTTTCTAAAAAAAGTTATTGTGTTCTAGTCCATGGACCCCGTCTAAAAAGTAAGAAATTAACGAAATGTGATAGCCGAAAATTAAAATTTCACACAAAACCTCACAATAATCACAACACTTGAAATGCTGCTTTCAACACTAAACTTGTACTGGACCAACAATTGGCAACATGCATGTCATGCATGCATAGGAAAGTGGATCACGAGGGGAAAAGGTCTTCTACATGTAGCTTTTCATTCTGTGTGTGATTATTGTGAGGTTTTGTGTGAAATTTTAATTTTCGGCTATCACATTTCGTTAATTTCTTACTTTTTAGACGGGGTCCATGGACTAGAACACAATAACTTTTTTTAGAAAACTGCCATACGCTCGTAAAGCAGTTTTTATTGCTATAATTTCTTTTTTTTTTTTTTTTGTCACCAATCAATGGAATGCCCTATATCAATATGTAAATGATGGCCTTCATATCATATCAATACCGTATTATACGCATTGAGGTGCAAGCTTTTTCTTGCCGAAAATGGCACTAGGCTAGCATGTTCTTCTGCGGGGAAACATGTGAGTAGTGATGGACCGTGGTGATACATTTTTTATACAGAGGTCATTCTGTGCATGTTGCTGTAGCAGAATTTCATGACTCTGTCATAATAATAATCTAGCCTTTCAGATATTTCAGATTTCCCCACCCTGGATCAGATTTATTTGAGAAATGTAACCAGGTGCGTGTCGCAGATGTTTTTGTTGATTCTGTGTTTATAATGGTTTATAATCATGGGTTATCGTGATAAGGTCATCCTGCATCATATTGCACTGAAATCGTAATCCTGTTGATGTCGATACAACTTTTGGAAGTACTTCAATGACTTCAAACTGTTAGTCCACGATTTTCTAAAACAACACAGCAAAGGAGGAACAATAAACATGTATTAAAATGTAAACAAATACATTGCTGAGTCCGACACCTCGTTCCCACAACTACACTGATCCTGAGGATTAAAGGGGCAAGGATTATTATTATTATTATTATTATTAAATTTTTGATAGGGCAATCCCCACAGGCCTAAGGCCTTTTGACAGGGTACCCTAAAAAATGAAGAACAGAATTACGGGATATGCTTGGAGGTACTGAGAGATAAACAAGGCACTCCATAAATAATAAAATCTTACATCTTTTGGTGAGTGTGAATGATATCCAGTCGAACCTCTTTAGGACGAACACCAAGGGTATTTATTCTGTGAGTTTGTCTTAACCTATTTTATATATACATGTATAACCAGTGAATACAATTATTTCTCCAATAGACATACGAATAGATTTCTTCTACAGCGAAAGATTCTGAGCCACACCAACTCATTGACTTGTCTCGTATGAAACAAATGAGTCACTAGAGAGGTTCTGCAAAACGAAAATGCGTACAAACTTTCGTTCTACGTCATGAAGTGCGAAACTTCGCACGAACTTTCGCAATTTTGGACGCGAAACATGCAGGGAACACGAAATGAACTGTCGTAGGAAATTTCGTGAGATCGGGTCATGGCGTACGTGCACTTGGCCCGCGCAAACTACGAAAATGTGCAGAACGCAAAGTTCGTGCAATAATTCGTACACACTTTCGCAAGGACTGTCGCGAAACTTCGTTCGAATTTTCGTTTTGCAGAACTTCTCTAGTACTGAACGTTTCTTTAGCAACATGACGGCAACTGAAACAGCAATAGAGAAAGTACGATACATGTACAGCACATTCTTGCAGGTACTACAAACAGATTGCAGATCGTAATTCTTGCTTTGGCGGCACGAAACTTTATTCTAAGCAGTGCAATCTCGGCGGTACTCACAAATAATACATCAAACAGCCCAGACTCGAGTAAACAAATCCAATCACACAAGTACGAGATCTTCACGAGACGAGATTGCACCGATTGGCTTGTTTCGTATGAAGCAAACAAGTTTACTGAACCTCTCCACAATGGAGATTTTCCCTGATACCGTATGCGAATTTATTTTGCAAACTCGGTCAATGGGTCCTTGAACCTTTCCCTCCAGATTGGGAACTGCCAATGATAGTATGCCACTGACCAGTGCCTTGCTTGTAACGTACCAATGTACAATGAATATGAGTATTTCGACAACACATCTAACATGAGCCTTACCGTCAAGAAGGTGAACTCGCGTTCTTCGCACACTGTAGACAAGGGCAAAGAGATAAAAATGGATCTAAATCTGAATAAAATCAGCACACGTTTCCGTAAATGAAAGGGTGAGCATAAGCAAATAAATCGAAGGAAACCGGTCAACTCAGAGATCACCTGTCATCGAGTATTCCGTAAAAGGAGGCCTCGACAGCGGAAAAGCTAAATTTAGAAAAGAGATCCTGTCAGCTTTTCCTTTATTTATTGCATTCCGCCCAAAATCAGCACACTTTTCGTAAATGAAAGAGTCAACACAAGCAAATGAATCAACGGGAACTGGTCAACTCACCTGTCATTGAGTAATATTCCGCGAAAGGAGGTCTCAGCAGCGCCGAAACGAAATAAGCCAGCCAGGAGACGAAATATCCGAAACAGCTCATGCAAGAAGCAGTTCCAAAGAAGGAAGTTCCTCGCGCATGCACATCCGAACACGGACTGCACTGCAACACAATGTCTGCCGGCTGCAGCCGTGCAAGTGCACAGCACGCGGCTACCACCCGTTGGTAGATCTAACACCGAGCACCTTACGTAGAGACTTACGTAGCCTAAGTGAAATACCGAGCACCTTACGTAGAAACTTACGTAGCATAGCGATGTCGTTTTTCTTGCCATGTGAACACAATAATAGAAAAGCTGACAGGATCGCTTTTCTAAATGTCAGTGCAACAAGTGTATGAAAGTCACTGACGAAAAAAAAAAAGTACGAAAAATCAAAAAATTAAATTCCGCCAGCGCTCTTGACCACCCACCGGTACCCCCTTTCTGCCTGAGGACGGATTTTTTAATTTTTCGAAAAATACGGACGACCCCTAAAGCGCCAATATGGCGGCAGGCGGTAAACGAGAGGCCATGTGATGTGGCACAGCAGAACAATGCGTTGGCGAAATTTCGTTATCATTTGAAGGAAATGTGGCTGCCAGGACATGTTGTGAGCCAAGATGACTCCGATCCGAGGCAGGACCAGGTTTGAACGGCACTGCAGAATGCAGATGCACATTTCGCGCGAACGGATTCACGTGACCATACAGGACTGTAGAAGTGGACTTTTGGCGGCATATCAGTATTTGACCCGGGTCAACTGTCGACATGTCTTCATGTAAACCATGTAAACGCTCACCTCTTTTGTCTATCGTACAGACTTTCAACCCGGGCTGAACTCGACCCGGGTTGAAATTTCTCATGTAAACACAGCCTAAGTTTTCGAAGTTTCGAGCTTTTCCTGTACTCATTCCCAGACTCGAATTTTCTTTCGAACTAACGTTACTTTCGCGTTGCTATTCACCAGAAAACGCAATAAAGGGCGAAAGAAACGGGCTTTTCCAAAAAGTGTCAAAAAGGGCGAAAAAAGGGCGAGCACCTTTGGGAAAGGGCTATCGACCATGCATCGGGTCGACAGGATAAAGACTCCGACATGTCGAGTCATAAATTACTACAGTATGTGAGAAACCAGGGTATGATACTGTAACTGAGGAAGATACAACTGGTTTAGATCCCAGCTCGTATGCCGACTCGACCGAGACTAAGGCCGAGACCCAGTCATACCGCGATGCAAGGCCGTCCCTGGCCTGAAGTCCTGCTTTAGAGGTGGAAACCATGTTCCTTGAGAGGAAAAACAGTGAGCCAGGAAGAGCAGTAGAGGGCCTTTGCGAATGCGAGACAGCTAGCTCATCCATAGACCTACGACGGGCCAAGGGGCGGTCCGCATCGATCCGCAGCTTCTCGTCCGGAGCTAGCTGCCGGAGATCTCGACCGACAGCCGAGAGAAGCGAATTATGATTGCGTGTAAAAAATATTTTTTTTTTCAAATACTTTTTTTAATCAAAAATTCAAATACTTGGGTCCGGAAATCTTTGTGTAGATCGTATGATTGTACATGTACGACTTGTAGATCTACGTGTTTTGTGGATGGGTGACCTTGCGCTGCTGTTTCTTTGCCGCAGTGATGATTTCGTTTCCCTTGTTGTGAATCACTGAATGTCTCGATACGTGCAGAGTCAACCAAGTGTTAGTCGCAGGGGACTACAACTATCGGTACATGTTGTAAGTAGAGAGTCTGCGTCACTTGTCTTTCTTCGCGTCGAGGCTGCTCACAGTAGGACTCCAGCCCCCGCACAATAAAACGCTTGGTTTTTGAATGAATGTCATGGCAGTGCTCGCTTTTCGTGCACCCAGGCTGTGTTTACTGGAAGGATATTATTCGACGGCTAAGCTTCAAGATACTGAGGTGTCGGGAGACTGGCAAGCAGCTTCTTAGCTCGTCTCTTGTGTCTTGACTCGCACGTGAGCCTTTATTGAATAGTTTGTCAAAACTCCGCCAAAGTTTTCAACTGACAGCCATTCAATCAAGATGTCTGAGGAAGCAAGTGGTGATAGTTCTTGTGCTGCCAGTGCGTCTGCCAGTGCGGTCATTGGTCAGGCTGATCAGAAAACGGGCATTCCAAGATGCATCCCACCGAAAGTAAATCCCAATGAGTAAGATTCTACTAGACATGTACAATCATGTATATCCATGAGTACACGTATTGTTTTGTAGGTTGTGTGCTGACTACAATCCCGCTATTCTCAGTACACCTGCAGTCTGGTTGCTTTACTTCGGAGCACTTTTAGTTGATGCACGTCGGGCTATTGGAACTGTTGCTAGTTTGGTTACCATGGTTACTGGTGTGTGCGTGTGTGTGCGTGCATGTGCGTGTGTGTGTGTGTGCGTATGTGTGCGTGTGTGCGTTCATGCATTTTATTCTCGTTTGTTTGCTGTCATACCCCTCCTGGAGTATAGGCGCTATACCGGAGGTACGTTGTTGGTGAATATTGTTGCTTGATATTTTCTTCTTTTGAAGTGGGGTTTCTTAGGGGCCATCCCTAAAAAACAGATATTTATTTAGAAAACAAAAATTAGTCGTGGGGGAGGGGGGTTGAGCACCTGTTTGTTTCTCGAAAAATATCGATGTATAGTTTGTATGTGTGAGCACGTCCAGCAAAAGGGGGGGGGGGGTTGAAGAGAAATGACATGACTAGTTTTCGTTTCTAAATAAGCGAAGGTCCCTGGTTCCGAGTCCGGGTGGTGACGATTAATTTTTTCTTCAGACTTTCCCCGTTTGCATCTTTCCCTCAAACCAGTGAATATTCTAGATAAATATCGGTATTTATTCACGGCCCCGGTCACACTACGTCAAAAATGCTGCGTCCGCGTCTGAACCATGAGTTTTTGCCATGGCAACTGACGAAAGCGCGGGAAATCTGAGCGTCCTACGCGAGCAAATTGACTGTGTTGCCGCTGCCAGCACTTGCATGAAAAAACAGTGTCTTTTGAAAATAGCACACCGTACCGTACTCTGTGGTTGCGGTTTGATTTGCCGCAGAGTGGTTTTGTGAAGTGTGTCAGGCCGCGACGGCAAAAGCAAAAACGCAGTGTGACTTCACGTCAGCGTCAGGTGCTGGGGTTTGACGCTGCGTCCAGCGTCAAACTTGACGTAGTGTGACCAAGGCCTTAGCTACTGGAACAGTAGATTGGTCTAGATCATGATTGAGAAGTGGGAGATACCTGGCTCAAGTCCTGCCTTAGAGCGTTTAGCTACCCACAGTTGGCTGGGAACGCCTGGGAGCTCTTTCCGAGCAATGTCAACGCCAGCCTGGTTCATATCACCCCCCCCCCCCCTCACTATGCCGCACCTGTTGGTTGACAGCATGATGTCGTCTCTTCCAAATCAACCATTTTGATCTGAAATTAAAACTGTCGGGAACCGTTACATTCTTACCGATGCGCTGGGCTGCCTCGATGAGAATTGCATCGGTCATCAGTGCTCGCTTAATTAACTTCCATGTGGGGGGAGCAAGTGCACAGCTCTGCTCTGAGGTGTCAACGTTGGACGCACGAGTTTCTTAGCGGCCGCGCAATCAGAGAGCGATACCTTCTCCTGCTCTAGTCACTTCGTCGGCTTCTGCAGGGTACCGGTGAATGTCCCTGGGCAATCTTCTTACCAAACTCTTTCAAGCACCAGGCATGCAGCTGCTTTTGCGTCTGCTTCGGAACAAACTGGCTCCGTCGCACAAGCTTTGCCTTTTCATCCAATATGAAGCTGGCGGGCTTCATGCCACCGGTTTCACGGAGGCAGGCTGCTGGCCTGCTTTCCGCTTACATGGCGTGCTGATAGCAGCTCCGGGCGGATCCGTATTGCTATCAAGTTCATCAAGTTGAGAGGGTTGGTTCGATTCCATCGCTCTCAAAAGACTTTGAAGATATAAAGTTTGCGGACAAATAGAAAAGAAGATTATAAGATTTGAAAAGAAGGAAAAAAAGTCGATTGGTCAATGAGTTCACCATCGCCATAGGGGTAATGTCGTTTTGGCGATGTCATTATAAAGGGAAGGTATTAAAGGGGAACTGTCACCAGGCGCGTACGCAGGGTCACCTCTAGGGGGGTTTCCAACCACAATTGCTCGTTCTTACCCTTTCTAAAGAGCCCTACGAATTTTTCAGAATTATGCATTTTTTCGTGTTCTTTGGATCATAACTACTTCAGTTCTACTCACTCAATCTTCATTATCTTGGGCTTCCTGGAAGTGGAAAGGTACCAGGGAGAGAATGAGGTCGACCATGATACTCCAGGACACAGTACAGTCATGTACATATCCAGCGCTTTGGCTATTTATAGCGGTAGAGTGCAGCGACGGTGCGAAAAAATGCCCCAAAGTTTGGGGCATTTTTTCGCACCGTCGCTGCACTCTACCGCTATAAATAGCCATAGCGCTGGATATGTACATGACTGTACTGTGTCCTGGCCAAAAGCCCCAACGCGTCCTGCTCCAGCGATTTCGTTTTTCTTGATCGCAGAGTTTCGATTTTTTTGGCTGTGTTCTCTTGAAAATATCACAAAATTGAGCAAGTCAGCGCGACGAAAAGTCCCAAATTCTGGATACTCCAGTCGCACTGCGCACTTTTCAAAATGGAAAATCGCGGCTCAACTTACGAATGATTTATCTCAAGAGACATTGCTCGCAGCGCGTCGAAAATTGTTTCAACGGACAGCTGAGAGTTTTCTATTCGACCTGGATATTTGGATCGTTGGATTTGAGCGAGATTTGACTGAGTTGCGATCTGTTGAAGTTTTGCATTCTTGCCAGATCGATCGTGGGCCCTACCAAAAATGCCCCAAAACGTTGCTCGTTTGGAACATTTGGGGGGTTTCCGGGCAACGGGAAACCCCCCCCTGCGTACGCGCCTGGTCACTAAAAAGTTCTTTGCCTTATGTTGTCGTCTTTTGGTACATGTTGTTTCCTATGTCCAGAAATAATTGACAAGCCAGGTTACGACATCTTTGGACAACCGATCTCTGAAGTCAAGAAGCCTGTTGATGTGTCTTGTCCCGAGTGTGGTCGAGTTGTTGCATCCAACCGCTTTATGCAGCACCTGGAGAAGTGCATGATGAACATGGGCCGCCAAAGCAGCCGCGTTGCTGAACAAAGGTGTGTGTGCGTGCATGCGTGCGCGCGTGTGTGTGTGTGTGTGTGTGCGTGACCAACGGCCAGAGAACGGGACAAGTTCCCGCATATGTGTATCTGCTCTCGCCGGTTCCGACTAGTCTTGCATCTGGAGCGCCATCGGGTGGCGTGCTCTTTCTCTCTCTCTGCTGCCCCTCCGGGGCCCACGTGACCCTAGTGGTAGTGGCTCTACAGGACAGGTGTGTGTGTGCGTGTGCGTAGAAACCACTCCAGCAGCAGGAGGGACTGGTGGCTAAGCATAAGCCTCTTCGGTGCCGTAATAGCACACAATTCAACATTGTTTACGGGGGTGGGGTACCATGTCCTATGGGTCATGTAGAAATGAGGCGAGGCGCGTACTTCTCCGTGAGTGAGCATGTTTTTCAACAGGAACAGTTTGCCTTTTTTCGTCCTGTATATTCAATTATTGCCTCCAAGAAGTCAGCCACATTAGCTGATCCTTGAGGAAAGTGATTTTGAACCCAGCTTCGGTGACACCAGAATGCATACAGTGCACTACAGGATGTGTGCCATACAGGAAAGAAGTTCAAAGAATCCACCATTTGGTGCACTTGGTGACTATGGTACCTCACTGCCTATCTCTTTCGGAAAATAGTATTGCCAGTGCACACTGCAGTGAGCACCAGCCGTGGATTCTCAAACACCCATCGAGCACGTGCCAGTGCGTGTGTGACAGTTACATGGCACGGAGGTATGTGATGTGTCCTTGGTGAGGTGATTCGTAGCGTTGTGTACATTGTGTGGAGAGACTTGGGAAGTCCACAGCTGCTGCTCCCTGCTGAAAATGAGGAGACTGAGATTGAATCTGTGAACTGTGTATCAGTCGTGGTGGTGGTGGCTGTGGCTGTGGTGATGGTTGTGGCTGTGGTGGTGGCGGTGGTATCTTGTGCTGCTTTCATTTCTCTTCATTATGCTATTGTTTGTCTCCATCTTGTCCTCGCTGCAGGATAAAAACTGGAGAGCAGGATGACGTGTATGCTCCGGACGATGAGGAGGTTGATGAGGCCGATGTGGAGGCTGCTTTAGCCGGCATAGAAGGCCAAAACAAAGGTGAAAAGACCGGGCTGTTCTGCATACGTGTTTCTTGTACAAGTAACGGCATAGCTGGGAATGATCAACCTACTTGTACCGTTACACGCGCTGAAATCCCACCCAGAGTGCATATTTGGCGCCCCCAACGAGCACGCCCTTGACACCCTGGAAGTGGCACGAATGCGGCTGGACGTACACATGTACGAAGACGATGATGTAAGCGTAACTAGTCCGGGGCGCCAGCTCTGCACTTCTGGTTGGATTTCACCAAGCGCAACTATAGTACACATAGCATCCTGATAATTCCGATGTGCAATTCGCTCGCGTAGAAAATGTGTGGGATTCCTGCTGATAATTTGAAGTTAGCAAGGTGTAATTCGAAGCTCACTGTGCGCTGTGCTGGTTAGTTCTGCGTGCACGAGCAGGCTGTGCAGACCCATTCAGAGTGTGCGAAATCGGTGTCCATAGACATAGTGCGTATCACAACTTGGTGTGACAATGTGCAAGCATGTTGACGTACATATGGGCCGCATTAAAAGCGGAGTCCTTGAATGTTTGCCACAGTTTGGTCGTAAATGCCGTGCAAAGCACCTCTTTGTACGTGCGGCCAAACATAATCAAGGACATCATTTCTGACATTTCCGCCACATTTTTTTACGAAAGGTCTGTTCGTTTTCGCTGAACGCAACTCACATTGTGTTGTGGGTAGGTGTTTGGATAATTCGAATTTTCGCCGGCAATTATTATTTGGCGCTGAGGACTCCACCTGTACAGGACGTCATTCTTGCAATGATAGTGCTGCATGTGTGTACAAGAATCTCCCCGCCTTTACAGAATCCTGCTGAGGTCAGTCTCAGTAGTACCCCTGTCAGTGCTGTGCCTTGTTGTCGCACTATCTGACTGTACACATGTTCTATATTGTTACCTTGGTGCACTGTTAGTCATAACTCGTAACTTGTTGGTCCTTTCTCTTATACATGAATACTATTGGCTGAACATTCGAGTTTTAGAAATGTTTTAAAATACTTGTACATGGTAAATAGTTGTGCCGAGTTAGCTGAGATGCAAGCAGTGCCCAGTCTCAAGCCACCCAGATATGGGAGATTGGATTGTATGCACCTGTCTGCTCAGTCGTGGACGAAACATTGTTTGCACTCTCCCTGACAAGTTTGCAGCTCAGCAGCCCTCGGCTGGGTGTGAAAATGCTCTTTGATTGCAAGTCCTCGGGCACTGGGGAAAATCAAACACCACTCTCTTCCTGTGGTTTGAAACGATATTTTCTATGGAACTGGAGCTTTTGTATCCAAAACTTGAAGGTCGGGTTTGTACTCGAACAAACTTGGACGTCGGCTACATACTCGAACAAACTTGGAAGTCGGGTACGTACTTGAACAAATCAGGCAATGTGCTGCTATGAGAGAGTGGGTTTGAGTGCATGAATGCAGGGCGTGGTACAGTCACATGATGAAGACAGCGCGCTGCACATGGACCCGTATGATAAGCACAGTGGCATACTCTTGCTTATGGACTCATGTCCTCATGACAGCCGCACCACTGTCTGTGGCAAAGCCATACTCCGGCAAAGAAGCCTGGTGAGTGGTCCGAGGCCCGGTGGTGTGATTTTGCTTCATTTTATAATGTCCTTTGTTTCTTGTTTTGATTTGCAATATTATGTAGTTGGAAAGTGAACAGTGCCTAGACCAGTTGGTCTCGCATTGTTTGTGCTGTTTGATCCCTTTCTTTTCTTTGGGAAAGTCTAGACTGCATGCTGTTTAGCATGTTCACATTCCAGGCCAAATAAGCCGAGGTGTGCCTGTTTTATACTAAATTATAGGCCATTCACACGACGTGCAAACACATGCATGCGTGTGACCAAGAAGTCGCTTGCAAACCGTGATCCAGTTCACACGGTGCTGGGTGAATTTTGCACGCGTCACTAACAATCTCCTGAAAATGCCGGTAAATTTTTAAAAAAAATTAAATTTTCCCTTTTGAAATAGGAGTACTTCAGTACATGCACTGCATTTGCTGCGCGCACTTTCAACAGTCGACTCTTTTGCTCGCATGCAAAGTATAGTCATGAGTACAAAGGCCCCGGCCAAGTTCGAAATCAGTTGCACGTGTGTGTCCAAGTTTATCGTATGTGAGTAAATATCTTTGGAAACGTAACGACTAGAGGGAGTTTGCACACGTCGTGTGAATGGCTTATAACAGTAGTCTGGGTGACACACTTAGCAGGCAGCCCCTTTGTTTGGTTGTTGTACGATGTGTTTTCTGTTTCGCTCTGGAGCAGGAGCGAGGAAGAGGCTAAGACACTGCGGATCACCTCGTCCGCAGAAAATCAGGCGGCTGGCTTTGGGTGAGGGTCTGATAGCGAGTACTTTTGCACTGCTCCTATCGGCTAGTAATTCTGGCTTGCCAGCACCCGGCCTGTCTTCCACGTCGCCCAGTGAAGTGTCACACCCACATAACAGCACCACTGGCTTAGCTTTGGAAGCTCAAACCACTTGGGAGGTGAAACCTCTTTTTGCAGAAGAAGTGCTATTATCTCTGCTGTTCAGTTGTTCTTTGGCATGTGTAGACCCTGAAATGATAATCACACGGGGAATAGTGATGCATCTTGTAGTTTTGTTCTTGTGTGGGGCCTCGAAGTTCGGAAAAATTCTTTTTTCGTACTTTCCTGCCGCTGTACGGACAACAAAACGCGTATGCATCCCTATATGAATATTATTTTTGGATCTATGTATGCCAGAGAACAGCATTCTTCAAAAGTAGAACGGAAAACACTTTTTCCATAAAAGCCTTTTTCACCTCCGAAGGGGTTTGAGCTACCTTGATTTTGAGTGCCATTGGGGAAATTCATCCTTTTATGAATATTATTGGCATATTTCAAGAGGTCCACTCGTGACCCTTCCTACATCTGTGTGGCCATGCATATGCTTAGTCTTGTTTGAATATACTGAAGATCATGTGCCTGGTATATTGTGTAGGGCCTGAGCAAGGTCAAGACGCCAGTGCCCCGTCATCCAATGCCTCCTCTCCGCGCTCGACAGCGACAACGAGTAGCAGTGGCAGCAGCAGCAGCACCAGTGGCTGCTCTGACTGGCAGGCTAGTGGCGAAAGCATGGCTGTTGGCATGACAGGTAGCCTGGAGGAGCAGGCCAGCCCAGACAGCGACTCAGAGCTGCTCGCCGATGCTGTCCCATCGGGTGCAGGTTAGAGCATACGCATGCATTTACTAGAGTGCAGAAGCTCATGCTGGCTCATTTCTTTCATCGATTTTGTTGGTGCAGGAAGCTCATGTGACCTCTTGCGGTTGAAAGTAGGTTGAGCAGGGCCATGTTCTGAGGGTGGAGTTAGCTGGGGAAATGTATCTTTTTTTCTTCAGCAATAGCTTGGTATTGCACGGCTCTACATACAATGGCTTTTGTGCCGGACTGTTCTGCAACGGGTGCTCAGCACAGTTCCATGCATGGCCCCTCCTGTGCAACACATATAATAGTCGTGCCGGGAACTTTCTGCGCTTTGCGATTGTTCCCAGGCTGTGTTTGACATTTTTTCCATTATTCCCTGTACTTACCCATGATGAGAAGGGAACGGAAACGTTCGGTTACTAAATTAAGGTCCCATGTCAAAATTACTTCTGCGTATATTTTGGTGCTGGTCTCTATGATGGTCTGCCTCTTGTTGTGCCCAGACGTGGCTGATGAAGAATACGGAGATGAAGACAGCACCGCCACCGCCGCTGACCAACCTCTGGCATCTGCTGGCACTGCAGGTAAGTCAGTGTAACCGCTCGCTCCATTTTTCGATTAGCACACGCCTTATACTCACCACAAGCTGCACATGGCTTGCTTGTTGGCGCGACTGCAGGCTGTGGAAGTACATGTGTGTCGTTCAGTGTTACAATGACCTTTATCACTGTTGGTCTTCTCTGGACGCTCTTTGTCCCTTTTCCAGATGCTGCTGCTGGTGATGCTAGCGGTGAATTCTACAAAGACCCAGAGCTAAATAAGGATGAGCGTGAAAGGTAGTTAACTGTTTAATGTCTTTCTAAGTAAAGAGGTTTTGCGAATGAGATCATTGCATATGCTTTGTAAGTTACGTATGGAGCGGAAACTAGTGCTTGTATATGGAGTGACAACCAGTTCTTCTTTTTTAGTTGAATGGCAAAATTGTATGGTGGGTCACCTTACGTATGTTGTCAGTGTTGGGATTTGAGTGGCAAACTGGTGCTTGTTCCACTGCTTTCTCACTCCACACAACACAGCATTTCAATTAATGATGGTATCGCGTAACCTTTGCAAGCCACTTTATGTTTATTTCTTCTGTGGAAATTGTGCCTGCTGTGCCGAATATACCTTTTCAATAAAATCCAATCTTGTGTTCCCCATTTTGGCGATCTTGATGCTTGCACATGATACTAACTTAGCAGCGGTGATTTTCTCTTCTACCCCCCCCCCCCCCTTCTATGTGGCGTCTAGCTCTCCATACATTCAGTCAAGTGCAGTGTCGAGCAGTGGATCGGCTTCTTCAACAGCCGTAGCAGATGGAGGTAAGTGCTCACAGCAATGGCGGATCCAGAGAGCGGGGGCAGTGGGCCCGACACCCCCTTTAGAACTGAGACTTACACCCTGGGTTTGCCGTGATACCGGTGATGGTACAGTACCACCAATGCCAGTGACTACTGTGCAGTCATGACACACGGGGTTTACTGCGTTTATGCAACTTACCCTGCATGCTACTTCTGGACGGGCCTCTCTTTGGGACGACCCAAGATTCGCCACTACATACATGTGTGGTATCTATGGAGTACATGTGGTTTCTAAACCCACCTGACCTGTGCAGAAACATATTGTTGTAGGACTCAACTCAGTCTCTCCTAGTAGGCCCACTGCAGCAATGATGTGATTATGAAAGTCCCGCTGAAACCAATGTCCGGTATAAGTATAGTCAATGGAGGAGCATGGTGCCGCCAACTGAGCTCAGGTCTTGAGACTGAGATGTTTGAATCGGACAAGAAAGCAGGCTGTTTCGTCTTTATTCCCCTGTCGAGTTTGGCATTGTTGAGTGATCAAGGACGGCTCATGGATTGTTTGCATCGCTATTTCAAAACACTCCAGCACCTGTGAAGCTTGTTTGCCCTTGAACTCTCTAAGAACTGGCGATTTTTTTTAATAAAATTTCCCAACTGTGTTTTGTTGCTTAGTGCAATCTCGCAAGGGCAAGCGGCGTGGACGGTCCGCCGCATAACAACACGTACATCCCAGTGTTTACCAGCGTTTACCAGCGTGTACCAGTGTGTACCTGATCTGTGTGAGTACCTTTCATCCTTGTTCGGGTCCCGCCGTGCTCACCTTGTCTGTCTGTCGTGTCTGCTGTTCCGCAAAACATGTTAAACCTATCAAGCAAGGAATATTATATTATGCATCTCCCGTAGTACTAGTAGTCCTTTGACACATTGCTCACCTACATGCTGTGCTGTGCTGTGCTGCTTTTTCTCGTCGCTGTCAGTTGCCTGTGTGCGTTGTCTATGAAGTTGGGCAATATCGTTCCACTGTAGCTGTGCGCGCATGTGTGTGGTGTGTGTGTGCGTACATGCCATTGACCCATCCCACCCTGCTCTGTTTGCTAGTGAGCCGAATTTTACTTCTTTATCGTTTTCGTTATTTTTTAACTTATCTGCTGTGCATGCTCATCCCGATTTATCCTGGTGCTCTGCAGTGTCCGCCTTAGCAACTACAACCACTAGTGTATTGCCCTCTTCTCAGGAAGCTCACACACATCCACACTGAACCTCTCTCTCTCTCTCAATTCCGTGGGTCCATTGTTGCATTGCAGTCTGATATTTTTTATTTATTTTTTATTTTTTCTGCTTTAGACTCCAGTACATGCACCCGATGTGCTTGAAACTATTTCAAATCACCATAAAACAGACAGCTCTAACTCTAAGAACTGTACATCCATCATAACATTGTATGGTTTTTAGAACTTTTATTTTTTACGTTTTAGGGCGCCCATGTTGGTGTAGGGGCACCTTTGCAGCCGGTCTTTCAGTTTTACGGTGATCATAATCCTACTTCTGGCCTGGTCTCGATCATGAATTTCACAACTGTTTCTAACTGGTTTCTCAAACAAACCCATTCCACTGGTTGTACGGTATATCAGGTGTTGCGGGGTTGCCCGTATTCACCGCTGCACACTCGTGCGCTAGGGGAGGGGAAGTAAGGCCTACTATTAAAGGGGAGTATTTTGGGTATCTGGAGTGAACAGCACATGGCCGATATCATGGATATGGGCACATGCACATTGGCAAGTACCGTTTAATAGTTCTTGTACTTTGAGAACGGGCAAATAATTGCAAGTGTAAGTGTACAATCTACTTAGTAACCACAGTGCATGTACAAGTAACAACAGTGGAGTACATCTACATGACGTAGTCTGTTGCAACTCCTGACTCCTGAGTTTCATGCAAGAGGAGATGCTGTTGTTGCCAGTGTTGGGCAAGCTACATAATCATTGTACCGGTTGTACGTTATCCTAAAGAGTTGTAGTAAGTAATGTACTTGGCCCTGGGGGGTTCTGAGCAGTAGGCATAGGGAGGGGAGCCAGGTCACAGGCGTGGTGCTATGCTTTGGGTGTTGGGTAAAATTTAATTTCCCGTTTGCATCTTCCCCGCAAATGTGAAATGAGGGAGCCGGAGCAGCAAGCAGAAAAGAGAAAACCAAGAAATGATGTGACAGCGCAAAATAGGAAATTAAAAGGTATACTCCGAATAGAATACACCAAAAACTGTGCAAAAAGAAGAAAAAGGAAAAGAAAACCTTGGCTGTGTTATTTCCGCAGTCGATTGGCGCCAATAGTACAACTACAAGACTAAGTCTTAGTCTTGCTTGAGTGGCTCCGAAGATGATCGGAGAAGAGGTTTAAATTGTAGGACGAAGTACGAGTCTACCTGGATGAGACTGTGTTTCCCCTCCGCTCCGGTGGCAGTTTTTTGTGTCACTTCGTTATCAGTCTTAGGCGAGGCTAGCGTGTGTAGGCACTGGTGAACAAGGTAAACCATTCGGAAATAACAGGGTGAAAAGGTTCTGAGCTGCAGATCTACAATCAGATATTCATTTTTCAGTTATATCTAGTATCCTCGCAACGACGTCCCGGAACGTCAGGCCCGGTGCACCACTACAAGCCTATCGACTGTTGAGTGCTGAACGCATTGAACTACGAGCTCGGGACTGAATTCTTTTCCTGTTGAGCCCATGTCGACCGGAGCTTTTGGTCGGACGTCAGTTTCGAGCGACGTATGCGACGCACAGGTACACGCGCTGAGTCCGATGTCTCGCTCAGAGTCAGAGAGCAAACATCTTCTGTCGGCTGAGAATGGTCGAGAGTCGTCACCGGCAGACGTAACCGATCGTGCTTCCGGCAGCGATGCCGGTGGTGGCGAATTTTCGCGCTCCAGAGGCTTGAGCAATTTCTCGGCCACGGGCATGGTGCTGCTGACAATGTCCTTCACTGTGTCCATGCCGTACGCCATGGCACAGGCTACCTTGCTGGGCGGTGTGATGCTGATCGTGTTGGTCTCCTTCATTATGGCATACATGGCTGTGCTGGTTGGCAGGTGCTGGGTGGTACTGATGGAAACATGGCCGGAGCGGTACCGTGATCAGAAAGTACGGAGACCGTACCCTGCAATCGCCAAAGAGGCTGGTGGTCGCTTCTGGGAGATCACCACTGTCCTTTCAGTGGACTTCACAAACTTTGGGGCCGCTGTTGTCCTGTTGCTCGCTTCAGCATCCATGGCTGAGATATTGCTGCCGGACCATTTCTCCATTAGAGTGTGGGCATCGTTCTGTACTCTACCTCTCCTGCCGCTCATTTCATTCGGAACTCTGATGGAGTCGCGGTGGCTGGGACTAGTTAGCGCACCAGTTTCAGTTCTGTGCACTGCAAGCATAGTAATTGTACTGGTGATAAGTCACGTGTGCACGGCCAACACCGCCGACACGATACCAACGGTTAATGTAACACATGTTCAGCACTCTAACACAACCACTGCCCTGTGGACAATGACATCCTCCACGATATCTCACAGCACACAAACAAGCTCATTGGCGACGACTTTCCCGGCCGACCATCGCAGTAGCCCGGTGACTTTTGCGTCATTCTGGCTGGGTATGTCCACGGTTGTGTTTGCACTCTCACCGATGTCCATTGTGCCCACTATACATCATGACATGCGTAAGCCGGAACAATACGGTCATGTCATTGTACTAGCGTACACCATTGGCATTCTCATGTGCTTGTCCACTGGGGTGGTGGGCTTTGAGACGTTCGGACAGCTGTCCCATCCGAATGTACTGCGCAACGTGCAGTGCCGAAGCTCGCACGCCATATGGATTGCTAGTATGGTCAGCTCAGCTGCAACATTTGTGTACTTCATGTGTTCGGTGGTCCTCTCGTTGTTGCCGATGACACAGCACCTGGAGGAAGCACTGAAGATGCCCTTGAACAGTAAGTCACTAGGAGCGCTGCTGGTGTAACCACCGTAGCGATACAGCTAGTCACAGTAAGGACTGGCTGGCCTGCAATGCCTACAGTATAGACTACGGATGTGCAATTCAGTGAGGGTGCCATAAAATTTAGTGTCGAAATCTCGCCCCTGCCCATATTCTCAGTTTCTCAACCCAGAATTCCCACTGCCAGTGTATACTTATACATGTACTCGCTGGCAAGTAGGAAAAAATGAAGTAGAATTGTCACCCATGGCGTATCGCAATCCATAGTACCTTTTCAGCCTGTCAGTGTTAGTTACCACTTCCAAATCTGAAAAAGTTAAAGGGGAAGTCCGGTGAAAAATTTAAATTTCACAGTCCGTAGAGTTCGGGTCGCTGAGTCGAATGGTCTTTGTCCGAGGAGGCTGTGGCCTATGGTTCGTCAGATACGCCCAATCGAACATGTGCGAATTTGAGCGCGCATCACCCAGATCCAGGTGATGACGTCACAGCGTGCAGCCAGGTAGCCACACCATCTAGTCGTGTACAAAATGGCCATATTCGGAGCGCGTTCGATTGGGGAACCGTTTGTCGCAGCTTCTTCGGACCAAGACCATTCGATTCAGTGTTACAAACACTACGTACCCTGTGATTTTCAGCTCGTTAAACCTCGAGGTTATACCGTATTTTAGCCGTTTCCGAGTTGGACTTTTTCCGTCAGCATGCAATGGCCTCTACGCTCTAGCAATGCCCTGCGTGCATGCTAGCTGTAGTCAGCTAGTGTAGTCATCAAACTCATCACACGAAACTACTCCCGCACTAACACTGCCGTGCTGGGCTAGTATCTACAACAAGACTCGAGACACAAGACTCAGAAAACTAGTCAACACACGGACTTGTCATGTACTAGTACTACTACTAGTACACTCGCATCAGTCGTCCAGTCATGTAGTCAGAGAACGTGCGTTTCTCCTTGCCGGTGCCAGTGGTTGTGCTTTGAGAAAGAAAATTTTAGTTTTCCGCTCCAGTCCCGCCTCATTATTTTATGCTACAGCGATGAGTGCACAACCGTGACAAGTGACAAAACAGCGAACAGCTCCAGGACCTAGAACTTTCAGATTCCATAGCGTTGCGAGCGAAGAGTCGTGCCCGTGGTTCAAAGAGCCTGCAGTGTTCTCCAATTGAGTAGTCCGAAATATGCCAAGTTCGCACCAAAACATCACCATGTGGCAGGCTACTGGAGTCTAAGTGAATCGGTATGGAACAACATTTAGAGCACTCGCATCACTCTTCTCCATTTTGGCGACCCTGCTCTCCAGCGATCTGATAATTATATCAGCCTCGTCTGCAATAGCTGCTGCTTCTTCATCAGTCGGAAACTCAGTAGCGCTCACTCTTGACCGGCCCGCGCGGCCATTTCTTCAGCTGAATACCGAGGTTCTCAGCCCCAGACCAAACTCATGAAGGTCAGCCATGGCTGCATCCTCACTCTCACAAGGAGTTAGGTCTTCGGGGTCGCTTGCACCACCTAATATCAGTCGCCAAATCATTTGAAATAGCACTGACACTATTGCTTTCACGCACTCCTTTTGACCTAGCTGCACGCTATGACGTTGCGGAGGGTGTGGCGCGGCCGCATGACGTCATGGCGCAGCCCCCGAAACTCAGTTTTTCAAACGGAAATATCTCGAGAACGCTTTGTCGGAGACACGTGGGACCAACACCATTCGACTCAGCGCCCGAAACTCTACCGACCCTGAAATTTAAATTTTTCACCGGACTTCCCCTTTAAGTGATTGTGTTGCGAATTTTATGTCATTGCCGTGTAAGAGTAAGTTAGATGTGGGACGGTATCAGAACGGCTTCATCTGAGAAAGATGTGTGTATGATTTATATATATTATGTTATGTTGCTTCAGATATTAGCATTGGTCACGTCCTTATCCGTATGGGAACACTGCTGGCCGCGTTAGCAGTCGCCGTAGCAATGCCTGAGTTCCACAAGTATGCATCATTGCTCGGTGCGTCATCAATGGCGCTCAACAACTTCATCTTTCCCCCACTGTTCTACTACTGGATAACGAAAGCCACCGGTCGTGAATTGCACTGGGCTCAGCTTGGCTTCTTGCTGTTTGTGCTGGTTACGGGCATAGTCAGTGGCCTGGCAGGGACCTATGCTGCAATTAGGAATATTATTGCGAATTCAACACCAAATCCATGTCATGTATAGTCCGCCCGCTAAGAGGACCTTTCAATTGGATTGAGCGAACACGTCTGGGCACTTGGGCAGGGAAATGAGCCGTGTTGTTTCGCTATTGATCCTATCTCTTTGCTAGGGGAATATCATAATTATAATTATGGAATGTTACTGCTCTCAATGTGTGTGTGTGTGTGTGTGTGTGTGTGTGTGTGTGTGTGTGTGTGTGTGTGTGTGTCTGTGTGTGTGTGTGTGTGTGTGTGTGTGTGTGTGTGTGTGTGTGTGTGTGTGTGTGTGTGTGTGTGTGTGTGTGTGTGTGTGTGTCATTTGGTTTATAAGAGCTGTCTAGTCTTGAAGTCCTTTATAGTAAAACTACTGAAGAAATTTTTAAACTATGAATATACTAGTACTCACAAGTTTGAGTTGAATAACAATTCCATTTTCTCCCTCAACGTTGATGAATACTAGTAAAAGTTGAATCGTGGTAATGCCAAAATATACGGTCCAATTCTCTCCCACTAGCATTATTTAACCACTCACAACAGCTAATAGCCTTTTCAATCTCCAAAAAAGTAGTATTTATTTCACTGTTTGAATCTTTCATGTACACGTACAATGGTTCATGTATATTGTGTTGCGTGGGCAATGAATCGTGAATGGCTGTTTCTATTTCAATTTTCTCCTCGATTGTTTTTTGTTGATTTGATCGATGTTGATTTGCTGTAGCGGTAATGCAGTTGTCCATGGGAGGTGTATGCATTGTGTTTTTGTGATGTGGAAGCTGCAGTTCAGTAACACATGTGGTACCGTCCCCTGGTCATTTCCTATGTGTACAACCTTTCATAATAATTATTATAAATTTTCACTCAGCAGACCGAAATTGGAGCCAGTTTTTGTGTGCACCGTGCGATAATCTAGTTTATTATGCGCCGGGATGGAAGGATAGCAACTACTAGTATTACTTCCCGTGATCTGCTCTATTCAACGGTTACACTATTTGCATGTACTGGTATCTTAGTTCTCGGATCGCTATTTCTTTTCAATGACAACACCTTCCATGGATTGGGCCATGGGGACATAGCAATTATTTGTATATGTACCAGGATTAGCAGGAATCATGAAAACGCCGGTCTTTTAATGACTATAATTATGATTTGCACACATAATAATACAATGTAGTACAATGTCATGTAGATCTAACTAAAAAGTTACTTGCTGATGATTGTACAGGGAGGGGGTGGGGGGTAGTGCGTGCAGCTAGCTCGGAGTAGCAAACCCAGTGGATGGAGTTGAAATGAGTTCTGTACGAGCACGTGTACAGGTCTACGTAGATCTACTAGTACTCAATCTGCGGACAGCATGCTGTTTCGTTCTTTTTGAACTCATCAGCGCAGCACAGAGGAAATGAGGCCGAACCTGATAGCAATGGAAATAAAAATTTCCAATCAGGCTAGTACGTGTAGCTAGCCTATACCGCATGGCCGGGTGCATGCAGGGAAGATAAAGTCGAGATCCACGAAAAATTGATGTCACTACAAACGTGAACGGACGAAGTGAAGTCGACACACTGCATGCTAGTGTCGGCCTGGCCAGTGTCCTGAGAGTTAGAAGGAAAACCAGTCGTTGCGCACCACGACACTTGGCGACTGGTAGAATGCTGTAGGTACTTGTAGGTCGATCCGATTCCACCGTAATTCCGGTGTCGTTCGAACCAGCCACACGTTAGTTTGGTCAAGGCCACAGCTGCTGAACATCATCAATGCACCCAAAAAAGATTACCAAGGCAAGGCTGGTGAGTGGTGGTACGGCAGTGATGGAAGCGGAGCAGCTGATTATGTCGTCTGAAGATATCGCACCGGCTTCCGCTGGAGAAGAGCTTGAGATGCCTGCGTCGGAAATGGACAATCTTCTGCGGAATCGGGATGACACAACTCCAGCGTCACTGAAAGAGTCCGTAGACCGTGACACTCGCAGTTCTGACGGCACGGCCGGGGGGTTTTCTCGGTCCAAAGGCCTGAGCGTGTTCACTGCGAGCGGGCTGATCATGCTAACGGTTGTGTTTCCTTGGTCAATGCCGTACGCCTTGGCACAGTCATCCTTGCTGGGTGGTGCAATGATTATAGTACTGGGAGGCACCATTATGTTGTACATGGCAGCACTGGTGGGGAGATGCTGGGTGATAATGATGGAAACTTGGCCCGATCAGTATAGTCATCAGAAAGTGAGACGTGTTTACCCTGCCATAGCCAAGGAAGCCGGTGGTCGTTTCTGGGAAATAGCTACTCTGATTTCGGTGGACTTCACGAACTTTGGAGCTGGTGTTGTGCTGCTGCTTGCCTCAGCGTCAATGGCAGATGTGTTATTACCCGGACACTTCTCTGTCAGAGTGTGGGCAGTGTTTGGGGCAATTATTCTTCTGCCTCTGATCTGTTTTGGCACTATGATGGATGCATGGTGGCTGGGCGTATTGGGAGGACCACTAACAATGTCTGCTGGGCTCACTATGTTGCTTGCGGTCGTTTTGAGCAAAGTATACCCTGAAAACACAATCTCACATCCCAGCTCGCAGATAGTCAGTTATGCAACAAATATGACATCATCTCCCTGGACAATGACACCATCACCACTATCATCCACAGGATCTAGTATTGCCTTCCAGGAGAGCGCCAGTACCGTCACGTTCTCTACGTTTTGGGTGGGCATGTCAACAATAGTATTTGCGCTGTCGCCCATGTCCGTCATTCCTACGGTGCAGCACGACATGCGCAAGCCGGAACACTATCCACGCGCCATCTTGCCTGCGTTTACTCTTGGCATCCTGGTCTGCTTGTCTATCGGAGTGGTTGGCGTGGAGACTTTCGGCCAACACTCCAATCCAAACACACTCAGCAGTGTGCGGTGTCGCAGCTCCCCAACAGTGCAGGTCGTCCTCAAGGTCAGCTCTGTGCTGAATTGTGCATTTGGCATGTGCATCACATTGGCAAATCTGCTTCCACTTACACAACATCTGGAGGAGGCAGCTGATCTACCTAAAGGTACCGTTCATTTTCAGTGTCAGCTCTGCATTATAGTGCTTGGTTGTCCTAATATAAAATATCTGGTCTTGCAGTAGCACATGCTGTCCGCTCATAATATGAAACATTAAATATCCGTTGGCAACAGACACCAGTCTACCAGCAGAGGAAGTACTGTTGCAGGAGATGAAAGCTTCAGAACCCCCCCCTCTCATACTTGCCAACCCCTGGCAAACAGTTTCCTTGACACTGATGACGTTTTTCCTTGATCTGCAATTTTTACATCATAATTGTGCAAAATATTGTATATGACATCATAGTGATGTCACCATGACTACAAAATATTCGCAAATAGTACAGCATGTACGACAAAAAAGTACTTTTTCATGCGCTAAGGCTGCAACCACACTAGGTACAAAATCAAGTACGCGTTTGCGTTCAGCTTTTAGATAACGCAAAGTCGCATCCACACTGCCATTTCATGCGCAAGGAATCCTTGCGTTTTGTCATTTCTGGGTCCCAGAAAAAATCGCGCTGTGAAAATGTATGTAAATAGTTTGAAAAAGAGTCGCGAGCGCCTTGACTGTGACATACACGTTCAAGGCCTCGGTCATCTCCTTCTCTCGGATGGTCCGCTCCAAGCTCTCATCTGGCCCTGCTTCGTCTTCTGGCACGCTGCCCGAAGCTGCATGAGCTTCTCAGTTCGAGATTATCAGCGAAATACAATGTAGTTGCACGGCATCTCGAACTAACAACAGCAGACAACAGGACTGTCCGGAAATTATACTGAAAGCAAAGCCCTGGCAGATGAAATCTCAAATACTACAAACTGACAAGGAAGCCGTCTACTACCGACACAGTGCAAGCCTCAAGAAAAATTCTAAGAAACATCTACTATGTATGAAGAACCGAGCGAAACGCAAGGAAAAGGCGAAAAGTTGCTTTCTACAGGGGTACCCGGTTTGCTGAAACGAAACGCAGTACGTTTTGCGTTTCGCACGCGTTTCCTTGACGACATAAGCAGAAAAGTTGCGTTTACGCAGTTTTGTACCTAGTGTGGTTGCAGCCTAACTCAAAAGTTCTCGCTCGCTAGACCTTCGTTTGGGCGCCCAGCACTGCGAGCGAGCATCCAAAACACTGAAAATCAACAAAAAAAAGGTGTTGACGGACATTTTCAAAAATCCGGTAGATGTTATAACTTTTCCGGTATACCGGGACGAAAGCGAGTTTTCCTTGATTTTCCCGGAAATTCCGGTAGGGTTGGCAAGTATGCCCCCTCAAGTTGTCCGCAGTTTTTTGGCTGATTGTACCTCGATTGTAGGTGAGAGTTTCGGAGGGCATGCAAGTCAAACGGTGATCATGCTGCATTTTTGAGTTTTGACATGCCAGCGTGCATGTAGCGAAGTAGGGATTTCATTTATCCATCGGCTTCTACTTATCCACACATCTTTTGCAGGCCCTGTCCATCATGGGTTAACTGGCGAGGGCCTGAGGTTTTACAAGCGGGTCACATATTGTGATATATTCTGTGAAAGATTGCATATAGTGGAGTAGTCCTGTTGTACATGTGACCACAGTATCAGTAGAATAGCCCCCGACCAAACAACTTGCAGCTATGGTCGGTGTATGTCCGCACCATACACGATCAGAGTGTGAAACATGTGTTGGTGGTTATGCGGCGAGCAACCACATCGAGACAGTCGAAGCTGGTCTTAGAGACCACACCATGGTGCAAAGAAAATCCTGGCCTATGTAGACAGGTGGTCTTTGTGTGCAGATCAAACTGTATATTTTTGTTTGGTGTGTGGTCTGAGGCCGAGTGAGCATCTCCCAAAACACTTCACTTGTTGTAGTGGTTGCTTGTACAATGAGACTTCATAATACAGTACCCTGATGGTTATTTTGAACTTTTGTGCAATCGGCTCAGTGATTATGGTCATGCTTTTTTTCTTCTTCTTCTCATTTCTGCTCCCTCGGCTCTCTAGAAGTTGGCTTCAAACACATCCTGGTTCGTTCAAGCACTCTGCTCTTTGCCCTTGCTGTGGGCTTGGCTCTGCCTGAATTTCACAAGTATGCCTCGTTGATTGGTGCATCGTCAATGGCGCTCAACAACTTCATCTTTCCTCCGCTGTTCTACTACTGGATTGTGAAGAAAGCTACCGGTGTCACCTTGCACCGCGCTCAGATAGGTTTCTTTCTATTTGTGCTGGTCGTTGGTGCTATTATTGGACTTGCCGGGACCTATTCCGCAATCCGGAATATTGTTGTGACCTCAACACCAAATCCATGCGGGGCGTAGCGGCGTGTAAAAGCTCGCACACTCTTGGCAGTGTCAGGTACAAGTCTTTTCTTCTTCTCAAATTTCTCCTCCGAATATCATGATCGAGGAGGCTTGGGTCCTGATTAGATGTACAGCTGCAGTCCCAACTGGTAAATAGGCAGGTTGTATGCATATGCATGTATAATGAGCGCAGACCAGCTAGGCGGTGCAGCATACATCTGGCATCCTGGCCATTTTCGCAAACAAAGCAAAACTGACTCGTGCAAGCTAATTACAAGGCAAATGGGCTGGCCATCCTAGACTGCAGTAGATCTCAGGTGCTTCGAACTGGGGTCCCGGCTGACTGGGCTAGCTTGTTTGGAATGCAAACGCCCATAGGAGTTTTCAGTTTGTTTGTGTATACATGCCCGGGACGGGACCCCGGATGCAGGCGGGCTAGTCCGCCGTCTTGGCCAGCCTGGGCTGGTAATGCACATGCATGTATAACCACCCCCCACTGCAGTACAGTGTAGTAATATAACTACCACCTGCTACATTAGAAGGAACTCTTCGCTGGTTGTGTTTCTCAACTACTTTGAGTGATCATGTTTGAAATGCGACGATTATGACTACAGGTACATATTAATATTTATAATATCTACCCCCGCCACCCAGAAAATCCTAAAATTTCTTGAAAGTTATGCCCGTTCCGATTTTAATTTATTTTCGCCATGCTGGCTGTGATCGATCACACATGGTTTAAATGCTATGTCTGTATTCAATTCTGGTAAAGAGTCGCGTTCCACAGCGGACCAACATCATCCGGCTGTTTACTGGTCACGGTGTGGGGGTGGGGGGAGGGCTGGGTCATCCCGCAACTCACTTCATCCAACACAGCCAAGTGAGCTGCCGCACTTGTAAATACCATGTTTGCTCCTTTTCTCTTGATACATCAGTGCCCTTTGCCCTACCTACTCGCGCCAATAAAAGATAAGATAACTAATGACTAAGGAAGAACTTGAGGACGTTAGAACCTAGTTGTAGTTGTTGCATGTTTAATTGGTAATAATGGTCGAGGGCAATGTTGAATGGGGGACCTTTGTGCCGGTCAGTCCGGGTTGTTGGCAGGCGATAGAAGCGAGGGTGCCTGAGGGGGTTGGTTGCGGTTACAACAGAGGTACATGTAAAAACAAGGTTGTTGATGTGTGAAGGTGTGTGCTTGTGGTGAATTTTGTGATCTAGAGTTACTTTACGAAAATAGTGGTTGCGACTTCGACGATGCTTTTTAGGAATGGGTTTGCTCCCCACACTGGAGCTCGCGCTATTCCGCGACTTGACTAATAAGTTGACTTGACACTTGACTCACGACTGCCATCCAGAGCACACGAGAAGTCCATCGAAACCACGCTGAGGAGGCTGATGGGCCGGTAGTTGTTAGGTACATGTAAATGAGGATTTCCCTTCTTATAGAGAGGGGAGATTCTTGCATATTTCCACGCTTCTGGGAGGACACCATACTGAAAGGAGGCATTGAACAGGGCACAGAGAGATGGGGCTAGTTTTACTGCTGCTTCTTTCAGGACACGGGTGTTTATGCCATATCATATAACCAGGGCCTTTGTTGGTGTGCAGTTGGCGAAGAAGGTGTTCCACCTCAGCAGGTGTGGTCACAGTTGGAGATGTGGGACAGATTTTGGGTTGTTGTTGTTGTTGTTGCTGCTGCTGCTGCTGCTGTTGTTGTTGTTGTTGTTGTTGTTGTTGTTGTTGTTGTTGTTGTTGTTGTTGTTGTTGTTGTTGTTGTTGTTGTTGTTGTTGTTGTTGTTGTTGTTCTCCTTTCTGTTGTTCTCGTTGTTACTGTTGGTCTTGGTCTTTGTTGACGATACGAATGCAGCGATTTGCCATACAGAACTTGGTCATATTTCCTTAGTAATCATCTTCAATGGATCCTTCTTTGTTGCTTCGACTATGAATCATTGAAATGTTTTTTTTGGCATTTGATAAGATTAGTTCAGTTCAGTACATGGGATGTTCTTTAGGTGAACTACTTGGGGTTGGGGTTTGAATGACGTCAGCATTGCTTCCCTCGGATGTTGTGTTGGACCGGCCTTGGAACTCTGCCAACCGGGTTATGGTTGTAGTCAGGAGCACTTGTGCGTCCTCGCCTTGTAACCATGGTAACATGCTGTCGAAGTCGATAACAACATGATTGTTATTGTTATGACTGGTATTAGATCAGGACGACATCCAGGAGTCCAGTGAGGAGGGATCGAAGAATACACGACTGACGTCAGGAGAAGTATAAAAAAAACTCCCCTAGCATAATGAGGGTCAGAACCAGGTTCAACACCCATAATTATTGTTCAGATGCCATGGTCCCAACGGACCGGGGCTCTACCAACCGTGGATGCAAGTAAGGTCACTGTTTCCGAACACGGCGTCCTCCACCTTGTTTCATGCTGTCAAACCAACAACATGTTATGACTGGTACATGGTAGGTCTACAGCTGCTACAAGTGCCAAGTACTTGAAGTACATGATCATTGTACATGTACTGTATGTAGCAGGAAAAGCTGCACCACATGCACAGTGAATCAAAACACTTCATATTTGTTTAAAAAGCTTTTGTTCTGCACACTTCTGTTTCATTCAGATTATCTTGTCCGCTATCGTTGCTACATAATCAGATTATGTCGGCGCGCAATGTGCACCCACTGATCCAGTGCATTTGCACTGCTTCCCTTGAGATGGGCGATTGGGCGTACACGATGACAATGATGAATTTTACTAGTAGAATAGAGTTGTCGCATCACTTTTTTTCAATTTCGAATGTGAGATCTCAATCATCTCACGGCCAAGATGGTGCTCCTCACGATGGAACGTGAGATTTCAAAGCGACAGAGGGCCCAATCGTGCACGGTGAAAAGGAAGCTTCGAAGCGATTCAACGCACGTTTTTTTCTCACTTTCGAAATTGAAAAAACGTGAAGCGTAAACTCTCTATTTATTATGTACACGATGTGTGTGTGTGTGTGTGTGTGTGTGTGTGTGTGTGTGTGTGTGTGTGTGCGTGTGCGTGTGCGTACGTGCGTGTGTATGCACGTGTGTGCGTGCGTGTGTGTGTGCGCAGGTGCGCAAAGTTGCACCCTTGCATCCACCCTCTTCAACATTCACTTCAATGATCATGATTAATTGTAATGGTAGAGGCTAGCTCACGTTGTCCGGACGCTGGAGTTGGCAGGAATTGTCGCAAGCTGGTCCAAGTCGGGGGAACGCACAGCCAAGTTCCGGTTGTCTGCAGCAAGATCGAGAGTGACGGAGTCGAGTCCCAGCTTGCCGATGACGCGGTGTGTGCAGCCACCACCGAATGCATGACGTCCGAGTTTATATTGTGTGCGCATAGCGATGGGGACTGACGTCGACGGTGACCGTCAGCATTAGAAAGACGAAAGCATGGCGGTGGGTCAAAGATCAACCGACATCATTTGATCCCGTTCAACTCGAGGGTGACCGCAAGACTGGCATGGTGGACGAGTTCCGTACCTCTGCAGCGTGCTGTCTGCTGATGGACTGGTGAATGCGGACCTCACTGCTCGCTTGGCACAAGCGTCTCGGCTGTTCTACGTTCTCAGACTCAGGTCTCCGATATTTCAGTGCGTAGATCTACGCCTCTCTGTCTACACCAAGCGACTGGTGTATCGTGCTACATGACTGTGTCATCCTTCCTGCTCTCAGATCCCTCTACCATTTTGTCAAGGCCGCGGATCATATTCGCCAGCGCAACACATTTCACCATTATAATCCTCGGCATCTCTCGTCTTGAGCAACGGGAGGAGAGGTAGTCGCCGGCCTCGCTGAGTGAGCTGGCAGGGGTGGACATCGACATGGCCGCGATGTTAGGAAGCACTGGTCGCGGTGGCTTGGTCATGGTGCGCTGCACGTAGGTACATGTAGGCGGGTACACAAGAGAGAGTTTGGAAGCTTTGTCACAACTCCGAGTTTCACGTATCTCTACGATCTGTAGGCGGGTACGTTTTTATTTGAATTCGCGGAACCAAACGGGCGGTGTCGCCCATGAAAGCGAATGGAAACAATAAATTATTGTAGAAAATAGCCTAACGTGATAGAAGGGTGTAGTATGAAGCAAAGAACGCTCAGTCAATGAATAACGTTACTAGAGCAAACACAGAGGAGGCGTTCAAAGGTCGATCTATGTAGTGTTCAGTAGTGGGTGCTACTGCTAGCAAGACAGGACGGGAGGCAGGCATGTTTGAACTGGTGGTAGATCTACTGGGTAATACCACGCACGTCGGACGGCAGGGTCACAGTTCCATAAAATGGACCCACGCGGCCGCGAGCGGTTTATTATTATTATTATTTGAGGGATTCCCCAAAGGCCGAAGCCTAAATCAAGGGGGTCCCCGAGCGTTGGATGGTCATGGCCGGCTTTGGAGGCAGATTTGGGCACCCAAGCTGCGTTGCACGGTTGTGTGAGTACTGTACTGGGACGCTCCAGAAGGGCTTGCAGTGCATTGCTTGAACGGATGAAGGAAACCCCAGTGCCAAAGCAGATGCGGTTCGGCAAGCTGCCGTGCAAACGCCCTCATCATGGTCCCAGAAGCGCTGGCGGGATGCTGTGTCCTCGAACCTTACCACCATCTCAGCATCTGCATAAAAATTAGTCTATCAGGAGTGGACTGGTACGATACAGCACAGGAGAGATCCACCAGGCTCTGCTGCTGTCGGCAGAAGGTCGAGAAGAAAGCCCCAGGCCCAGACATCCTGTGCTTCAACTTTCGCTAGCGCGGTGCGACCGGACGGAGTGTTCCGTCATCCTGGCGACCTCAAGCGGTATGCGCCATACTGTACTAGATGGCGAGTTTAGAGCCTCAGCGTGAGAAGACCATGCATCGCTGGTATTGCTACAGCGCTCCATGCCCATGGTTCCAGGTGTGTGTTACTTCTGGCAACCAGCATGCCGGAGTATGTGGTATGATGTGTGTGCGGGGAAAAAGTGAAAAAAACCAAAACGTAGGGATTCACTGGCCAGAAAAAGCCACTTCATAGCTGTGTGGTGTAAACCAGGCTGAATAGTGGCGGTCAATTCTTCAGCCTTGCAAGCTGTTGAATGGTGCAATCCCAGCACAAGTAATTAGTTGCTATGGCTTCTACTGTAGCATCGCTATCATCGCGAGGGAGGGAGGGAGGGAGGGAGGGAGGGAGGGAGGGAGGGAGGGAGGGAGGGAGAGAGAGAGAGAGAGAGAGAGAGAGAGAGAGAGCCTGAGAGCCTGAGCGTCAGTTGTACCGGTACAACCATCGAGTTCCTGCCCCCCCCCCCCCCCCTGACCGGTTGTTCAAGCGTTTTCGTCCTATGTGCATGTGGTCAGGTCGAGGGTGACGAGTGGTACCTAAACTCCAAAATTTGTAGTTAGAGCTAGATAGCGGAGGACTACTGCCTGGTACAGCAAGGTTAGTAGTTAGTACTTGAGAATAGGTACTAGGTCTGACTGCCCAGGTGGCAGGTGGGCTTTGAGTTTGACTGAGTGCATAGTCCAAGGTTACCTTGGCTTTACTTGAGTTCACGCACGGTGGTTCGGGGCAAGCCGGCGAGAATGCACTTAAGAGAACACTCTGGAGCTGGAGGACTTCTCTTTTGTACTTTGATTAATAGGTCGACAGATTTGGCAGCATTCCTTGCTTGAATTCTTGGCTCTTCGGCCATTCGATTTCAGATCGTGAGACGCGCTGTGTAAAACATGCGTACAATGCAGTGCGATCTTTCTCTGCAGGTCTTTGTGCGTGCTGGCTAGCCTCATGCTACGCCCGCTGAGTGAGCGGGTGCGCGCGGGAACACACACACACACACACACACATGCACACACACATACACACACCACGCGCACACACACACACACACCGTAAAGACTGACACACAGGCGCTAGGCAGTCAAGACTCTATCTCTGCTCAGCTACATGTAGCTCTAGCCTAGGCTAGTCTAGTCTCTCTAGTCTACAGAGATCCGCGTTCCTGTTGCTCTTGTCGCCAGGGCGAGCAGTTCTCGTCTGGTACTACAGCCAGTACACTGTACAGGCTACTACTAGTACTAGTACAGTAGTAGCTAGCTGTAGAGACTAGAGAGTAGAGTGTAGTTCAAAATAATGATGTGGTTGTAGGTCGCAAATGAAATAGACATGAGCCATATGTAGCAAACGACAGAAACGTGTTCCGCAGCTACAGACGAGACGTCGGCAGCTGAAAGCGCTACACTAACGTCTGTACTTAGTGAGTAACACTGTAGACCACACTGGTAGACTCAGTGGCGGGTTTACAGTCCATTCAGAAAAAAATGAACTTCTAGCTTTTGGCCATAAATGGGTCAAACGTTGAGTTTTTTTAGAATTTTTTTCTGCAATCCCATATGGAATCCTCTTCCAATTATGTTTCTGAAGTTTTTTTGTCCAAAAAGCAAGCCATAGCAAGAATAGGATTTCGGCCAGGTTTTGCCCCAAAAGCACTGAATTGGGAAAAACCATCAAAATCCAGGCCGTTTGACCCCGCCTGCAACAGTGCATTCTGCGGTTCGAACCCCAGTTCAGGCACCCTTTTTGGACCCTTTTTCAAATTTCAAAGTTCGCAGCACTGCACTGTGTACGATGAAATCACGAAAAATCGCCAAATACGGGAGCTCGCCAGAGCCAGGACCCATTTTTTTATGAATGGACTGTAGGGGGGGCGCGGGGGGCGCGCGCCCCCCCCTCAAAAATTTCGACCTAGGTTTCGAAAAATAATACAGGGCGCGCGCCGGGTCGAGCTAGACTAGGCTCGGGGCGCGCGCGCCGCGCGGCCTGAAAGTGAAACGATTGTCCAAAAGCAGTTGCACGGTGCTAGTACAGTACGAGTACACTGTACAGTCTACACAGACTACAGAGCTAGAGACAGAGTAGAGTCTACGTACAGTGAGCATGCACGGCTACAGTACAGAAACACGGTGACCTGACTGTGTACTGTTGTACAGTGTGATCCCTGCTGGGACGCGCTCGACGCGTCTTCAACGGTACAAACATCGAAGAAAAGTCTTCGATCGAGTCAACCAAAACACGATTCGAATGCCGAGGGCTCAGGCGATCATCCTCGTTCGAATCGTGTTTTGGTTGACTCGAAGGCTTTTCTTCGATGTCTCAGGGACATCCCAAAAGGCCAAGCTCTAGCCAGCAGAGCCTGGAATTTTTGTAAAGCGTTCCTGTGGCGGCGCAACTCCTGCTGCCGCTCCAACAGGAAACAGTGGGAGTGATGAAGTCGCTGTTATTCCAGACAATCCAGTTGAACTTTCGGAGCGGACTGACAGTCAAACTCCGCCAGACGTGGAAGAACCTGTTGTCAGCGAGCAGCCAGAACATAAAGAACAGCGCACAGTGACAAGTACCGCTGCCTATGTAAAGGATGCTTTGAGAGCGGTGAGAAATTGTTGGACTCGCATATTAAAACAAAAGAAAAAAGCAGTTGATTCGCTCACATAACGGCAAATTTGAAGTTTACAATGTACATTTGTTGCTGCGTGTACAGAAATACTGCTCGTGAGTCGTGGTGTGTGAGATTTACGGCTTGTTGTTGTTGTTTATTTTTACTTCACCAAATGAACAGACAGAGATGCCTTCTCACCTGCCCCGGCATAGGACAGGTTCTCACAGAATGATGAAGGGATGATATGCAAGGGAAAACAAGAAAATTAATGATAATAATAATAATAACTTTAAGACAGAAAGGACCAAAAGAAGAAAGGGAAAAATTTATATCAAGAACAATTTCATGGAGTCAGAAATAGAAAGACAATAATTTCATGGAGTCAAAGAATAGAAAGACAATCTCATCGAGTCAGGAACACGTGGTTGATTTTATAGACATGCATGCACAAATGATTGATAGATGAGAAGGTTGGAATTTATGGCAGATAATAAAAGTTTAACGAGGACAAAGTAAGTATATCAATGGCAGAAAGAGCTTTTCGGAAGGGACCAGGGACACGTATCACTCTAAAATCAGAGGGGAGAGCGTTCCAGAGAATGCTTCCCCAAAACATCATGCTCGATCGTACCGCAGGCCCACCGTGGGGACTTGAAGCAAGTTCGACACTTGTCCCCGTGTGGTGCGCTGATCCTCCGGAACAATCTCTGGGGCCGTTCGGGTGAATAACTGTTGAAGAAGGGGCTACAGGAGGAGCTTCTTGACATTGATTTTCAAAATGGCTGACCTGGGACAGTAGCATGATGTCATCTACCCCCACCCCATCCCGCCTTGATCCCGGCCGCAACCCCCCCTCAGCCAAATCCTGGACACGCCACTGAGACTGTAGAGTGTAGTAGTGCATCTCTCCTGCAGTTGCAGTACTCTTTATCAGTTTGTAGACCCTGCATGAAGTACTACAGTCTACAATCTGCAATCGTGTTGTGTAGATGAAGTCGAGATCCAGAAGGCAAAGGCAACGCACCCGAAGAATTTGCAACAAACTGTGCCGTCGAGGAGCGCATGGCTGGGCAGGAGGTCTGGCGGTTCACACCTTTTACTGAAGTCTTTGATCCGATTTGGGAACTGCAAACTGTAGACGACTTGAATCCGGGAATATCTGTCCGAACCAGCTTCACGCATGTGTGGTCGTGAACGGAGCACCAGCTGCTGAAAGTCACACCTGTCCCTGCACCCGAATAGTAGTGACGGAATACCGCGATTGTCCGATTGCCCAGCACTAGGCAGGCCCGGTGATACAGGTTCAGAGGAGATGGACGCGGAGAAGCTAATCAAGTTGTCTGAAGATGGGGCCAACGCTTCCACTTCTGACGGAGAAGACTTGCGGCACCGCCTTGGCAATGGTATGCCTGGTTCAGAAAGGGATAGTTTGCTGCAGGAAAACACAAAGCCAGGGTCGCTAAAAGAATGTAATTCTCAAAGCGATGAGGGCAATGGAGAAGGATTTTCCCGGGCAAAAGGCCTGAGTGCGTTCACCGCTAGCGGAATGATCATGGTGTCAATTGTGCTTCCTATATCAATGCCGTATGCCTTGGCACAGGCATCCTTGCCGGCCGGCGTAATGGCTATAGTCCTCGGAGCAACGGTTATGCTGTACATGGCTATGCTAGTGGGCAGATGCTGGGTGATTATGATGGAAACTTGGCCCGATCAGTACAGTCATTAGAAAGTGAGACGTGTTTTTTGTACCCTGCTATAGCCAAGGAGGCCGGTGGTCGTTTCTGGGAAATAGCTACTCTGATCTCAGTGGACTTCACAAACTTTGGAACTGCTGTCGTAATGCTTCTCGCTGCAGCATCAACAGCAGATGTGTTATTGCCTGATCACTTCTCTGTCAGAGTGTGGGCAGTGTTAGGGGCAATTATTCTTCTGCCTTTGGTCTGTTTCGGCACTATGATGGATGCATGGTGGCTGGGAACATCGGGCGTGCCAGTAACAACCTCTGCGTCACTCACTATGCTTCTTGCGGTGATTCTGAGCAAAGTATACCCTGAAAACACAATGTCACCTCCCGGCTCACAAATAGTCAGTAATGCGACCACGATGATATTTCAAACGAACATGACGTCATCTCCCTGGACGATGACATCATCACCAATAGAATCAACAGTATCTACTATTCCGTTCCAGGAGAGCGGCAGTAACATCACGTTCGCGTCATTCTGGATTGGTCTGTCCACGATAGTATTTGCCATGTCGCCGATGTCCGTCACACCCACAGTGCAACACGACATGCGCAAGCCGGAACACTACACACGCGCCGTCTTCCCTGCGTTCACCAATTCCATTCTGATGTGCTTGTCTATCGGCGTGGTTGGCGTGGAGGCTTTCGGCCAACACTCCCATCCAAACACACTCAGCAGCGTGCGGTGTCGCAGCTCCCCAACAGTGCAGGTCGTCCTCAAGGTTAGCTCTGTGCTAAATTGTATATACAGCCTGAGTTACGCACTGTTGTCACTGCTACCACTTTCACAACATCTGGAGGAGGCACTGAATCTACCTGCAAGTAAGTCAGCAAGGCATTAGAACGATGTACGAAATAGAGATACGCTAGAGTATCCAGGATAAAACATGCCATGGGAAATACTAACTGCAGGTAACATGATGTTCATGACCGACTTCACTCTTTCTGAGGATCTTCCAGTGTCCATTGCATTATACATGTAGCTACACCACTCACGTGACCTCGAAGTCAACAATACTAGTATACAGTACAGCCATGATTGTACAGTTGTCAGCTCTTCCACTGCCCACTGGTGCACTACATGTAGATTGGGGTGAATAGTGTTCTGACTAGATATATCGCATGCGTATAATATTGGGTGTTGGCAACAATGAACAATCCATCAGTAAACTAGTTACCAATGAACACTGTTGAGCGGGAATACATGTAGGTCGCGTAATGTTTATATAATACCATGTGGGTGTTTTTGTAGATGACGACAGGAGCAAGAGAACCTTCCCAAGCCACCGTTAGACATGTTTAACTATTACTTAGGGGCCAGGATATGGCCAAGGATCGTACAAGTAACGTGAAAAGGTTGTTGGTGTATTGAGTACACTACCACGTTCGTGAGGTGTAATATAGCTGGGCGTATCAACCATGCCACGGGCCGGGGGGGGGGGGGGGGATGGTGCAAAGAAAACTGAAGTATTGGGGAACAGGTGGTCTTTGTGTGCACAGGTCAAATTGTATCTGTGTATTTGTAGGCTGCGGTATTGCCGGAGTCTCGTATTGCCTTGGTATACAGACAAGGCTGAGGTGATCTTATTATAGTCAATCATATTACGGGTACATAGTTTTGTGCTTTTGCTTTGGGTTCACATACACTGTACATGTCACACTGTACATGCACATACACTGTACATGCACATACACTGTACTATTTGTTTTGCTTTTGAAATCGTTTTTGGTTTTCATTTGACAATCCATGCGTATTTCCTGAGTTATGCATCATCTTTGACTTTGTATTGGTTGCGTTTACCCTGCCCCTGGAAATGACTGCTAGGGACTTCAGTGATCGCCAAACACAGGTTTAATACTGTGCATGTATATACAGTACTGTACAATCACTCAATCTGCGGACAGCATGCTGTTTCGTTCTTTTTGAACTCATCAGCGCAGCACAGAGAAAATGAGGCCGAACCTGATAGCAATGGAAATAAAAATTTCCAATCAGGCCCGAACGTACCTTGCCAGAGTGCTCAAACTGACAAGTCAGTGAGCTCTGCATAATGCAAACTGTACTGTACAATCATGTAATACTCTTTTTGACGAGTGCATGACTGTGTTTTCAAGTCTCAACTAAATACATGTACATGTATACCTATCTTCCTTTCCCGTATTTCTTTCTTGTGCACTGTAGAAGTTGGCTTCAAGCACATCCTGGCTCGTGCAAGCACCTTAGTGCTTACTCTTGCTATGGGCTTGGCTCTGCCTGAGTTCCACAAGTATGCCGCGTTGATTGGTGCATCGTCAATGGCGCTCAACAACTTCATCTTTCCTCCACTGTTCTACTACTGGATTGTGAAGAAAGCTACCGGTGCCACCTTGCACCGTGCTCAGATAGGTTTCTTTCTATTTGTGCTGGTCGTTGGTGCAATTACTGGACTGGCTGGGACCTATGCTGCAATGAGGAATATTATTGTGAATACAAGACCCCCTACATGTTAGTTCCGTGTAGCAAGATGTGGAAGTCCTGCACACAGGCATGGGCTCTGAACTTCACACCCTCCCTGCCCTGAGGCCTGGTATAGGAAAGTAGGCATCTCGTTAAAATTCTCGCCTTCAAATAAATCTCGGGAAGGACTATAGAGGACTTTCCATTACATCACCTTTTTGGCGCCTTCCCGGTGTCCACCCAAAGATCACCCATAAGACAAGTCCGTGTCCTACGGTAAAATGTGCTTGGGTGGCAAAAAGAGAATCAAATGTGTTGTTCGGTGTACGGTTGAAAATGATGTTGCAGGCCGTCGCAGTGGTGAAGCACTTTTGCTTTTCTTTGATGTGGTGAATAGTTTCGGTAAGTCGCGAGGATTACTAGCCGTAGTTACTCTACTGTTTATTCCAGCCTTGAAGAGGCGTTGCCGCGAGAAGATTGACAGAATCCGTGGGCCCAGTACATTGATCCATATTTACCTATGGACGAAGACCTTTCAGCCAATCCCCCTACGTTGGGTATCCAGGCCTCTCTAAATATTTAGTGAATGTCCCCAGCACATATGCAAAGGACTCTCTAAAGTCTTACAATAGCCCTGATGGATACAAATGCATGTGTCTCATTGCTGGCTGAGTTGGCACATTATCGTGTCTTGCCCAATCGAAGGAAGAAACAACAAATGTCAACAAAATACGTTTGCAAACGTCAGGCACTCGCGGAGTGTTTTTGCCGAACCTGTCCATCCTTGGGTAGCTGCTGAATTACCTGGAATTGTTCTTGGCGCACACTGCACTTGCATGGTGGGCCTGGGAGAAGCATGTTCCTATGTTGCTGCAGTGCAGTGTTGTTTTGACTGAATTTACGTTGGAGACTGAAATGTGATGTGTGCTGAATGTCAACACCTACACCACTGGGTCACCAGTGGCTGGCACCGTCAATGAACACTACACGAAAATAGTGTACATGGATTTTACTTCAGCTGGGCAGAAATTGGAGCACCCTGCCCATAACCTACAAGTAATCTCACTTCTCTTTCGCTGCCTGACTCTCTCTCTCTCTCTGTCTCTCTTGCTTTGCATGCCTGTCAGTGTATCCATGTGTGTGTGTGTGCGTGCGTGTGTGGGTTTTTCTTCCTTATCAGTACGAGTATGACAATGTTGACATGCGGTGGCTGGTAGCACGAAAACTGACAAAGTCGTGATCAAACACGGCCGTCATCATCATTGCTCCTATGTAGCCAAAAAGTTGGTGTAGTGGCGAACTTACTTAGTTGTCCTGATCTTAAAACACGCTGATGAATGCACATCCAATACAGCAATTGTTTTTCCTGGTCGTCCCTCGACCTGGCATTCTCCATAAGCAGTTGCTGATTACCGGTAGAGTGTCCTCCATTACTGCCTTTGCAAGAGTTACACAAGAAGTAAGATCAAGATGATCCTCACCACAAGAAGATCAAGAAGCTGAATACAGGTACCTAATTGACCAGAAAGACAGAATATGAGGTATACTACTAATAACTAGTATGTGCCGCAGCAGATGAAGAACTGCACAGCGCAGCAACCAAGTGGGAAGCAGAAGAAGATTGCGCAACTAGGTCGATCAGAGTATTTATCCATGACAAAGGAAATACACGTTGTGCAGAACATGAGGCATACACACTGGCATGGAAGAGATGATGAGTTGCACCCAGGGCCAGTACTAGAATAGCTAGCACCACCAGTCATGTAGAGGTACGTGCATAGAGCTGGGTACATTAGTCATTACCATCAGCATCAGCCCAATCAATCATCAAACTCCAGCTATACCTTGCACCCCAACAAACTAAGTAAGTTGATAGTGTTCGGAATCATCTTCGTGTTTCCGCCTTTACTGGTGCTGCCACAAATGAGCTGAACAAGTTGGTTAGTTAGTTCGATACGTACTGGGGTGACAGGGGATAATCATGACTTTTCTCTTCGCCAACGAAGCGATGGAACAATATTCGTGTACTTCGAAGTATTTGCATCAGGAGCGAAGTTCTCGAGTCGTGTGTCCGTCATCCACTGGTTCCGTCGTTCTCCATCGTAGGGAAAACGATAACAACTCAAAGATGATCCAGGTGTGAGAACATCCGATCGCGAGCAGCCCTTTGGTATTCTCAAACTACAGTATGCAAAATGGAACTGCTTTCGAAAAACACTGTTTCCTTCCAGTGCAGTCTTCTTTTTTTGCCACCCAAGCTCCGTTTCAAGTCCGGTGATCGGTGGTGAACTCGATGATCTTTGGCCCGAATCCTCATAGGCCGCACGGCATGACTCATTGGAAAGACCTCTATAGAGGACTTTCCATTACATCACCTTTTTGGCGCCTTCCCGGTGTCCACCCAAAGATCACCCATAAGACAAGTCCGTGTCCTACGGTAAAATGTGCTTGGGTGGCAAAAAGAGAATCAAATGTGTTGTTCGGTGTACGGTTGAAAATGATGTTGCAGGCCGTCGCAGTGGTGAAGCACTTTTGCTTTTCTTTGATGTGGTGAATAGTTTCGGTAAGTCGCGAGGATTACTAGCCGTAGTTACTCTACTGTTTATTCCAGCCTTGAAGAGGCGTTGCCGCGAGAAGATTGACAGAATCCGTGGGCCCAGTACATTGATCCATATTTACCTATGGACGAAGACCTTTCAGCCAATCCCCCTACGTTGGGTATCCAGGCCTCTCTAAATATTTAGTGAATGTCCCCAGCACATATGCAAAGGACTCTCTAAAGTCTTACAATAGCCCTGATGGATACAAATGCATGTGTCTCATTGCTGGCTGAGTTGGCACATTATCGTGTCTTGCCCAATCGAAGGAAGAAACAACAACTGTCAACAAAATACGTTTGCAAACGTCAGGCACTCGCGGAGTGTTTTTGCCGAACCTGTCCATCCTTGGGTAGCTGCTGAATTACCTGGAATTGTTCTTGGCGCACACTGCACTTGCATGGTGGGCCTGGGAGAAGCATGTTCCTATGTTGCTGCAGTGCAGTGTTGTTTTGACTGAATTTACGTTGGAGACTGAAATGTGATGTGTGCTGAATGTCAACACCTACACCACTGGGTCACCAGTGGCTGGCACCGTCAATGAACACTACACGAAAATAGTGTACATGGATTTTACTTCAGCTGGGCAGAAATTGGAGCACCCTGCCCATAACCTACAAGTAATCTCACTTCTCTTTCACTGCCTGACTCTCTCTCTCTCTCTCTGTCTCTCTTGCTTTGCATGCCTGTCAGTGTATCCATGTGTGTGTGTGTGTGTGCGTGCGTGTGTGGGTTTTTCTTCCTTATCAGTACGAGTATGACAATGTTGACATGCGGTGGCTGGTAGCACGAAAACTGACAAAGTCAAACACGGCCGTCATCATCATTGCTCCTATGTAGCCAAAAAGTTGGTGTAGTGGCGAACTTAGTTGTCCTGATCTTAAAACACGCTGATGAATGCACATCCAATACAGCAATTGTTTTTCCTGGTCGTCCCTCGACCTGGCATTCTCCATAAGCAGTTGCTGATTACCGGTAGAGTGTCCTCCATTACTGCCTTTGCAAGAGTTACACAAGAAGTAAGATCAAGATGATCCTCACCACAAGAAGATCAAGAAGCTGAATACATGTACCTAATTGACCAGAACTAAATATTGCGACAGAGCTTTCGGCCAGAAAGACAGAATATGAGGTATACTAGTATGTGCCGCAGCAGATGAAGAACTGCACAGCGCAGCAACCAAGTGGGAAGCAGAAGAAGATTGCGCAACTAGGTCGATCAGAGTATTTATCCATGACAAAGGAAATACACGTTGTGCAGAACATGAGGCATACACACTGGCATGGAAGAGATGATGAGTTGCACCCAGGGCCAGTACTAGAATAGCTAGCACCACCAGTCATGTAGAGGTACGTGCATAGAGCTGGGTACATTAGTCATTACCATCAGCATCAGCCCTATCAATCATCAAACTCCAGCTATACCTTGCACCCCAACAAACTAAGTAAGTTGATAGTGTTCGGAATCATCTTCGTGTTTCCGCCTTTACTGGTGCTGCCACAAATGAGCTGAACAAGTTGGTTAGTTAGTTCGATACGTACTGGGGTGACAGGGGATAATCATGACTTTTCTCTTCGCCAACGAAGCGATGGAACAATATTCGTGTACTTCGAAGTATTTGCATCAGGAGCGAAGTTCTCGAGTCGTGTGTCCGTCATCCACTGGTTCCGTCGTTCTCCATCGTAGGGAAAACGATAACAACTCAAAGACGATCCAGGTGTGAGAACATCCGATCGCGAGCAGCCCTTTGGTATTCTCAAACTACAGTATGCAAAATGGAACTGCTTTCGAAAAACACTGTTTCCTTCCAGTGCAGTCTTCTTTTTTTGCCACCCAAGCTCCGTTTCAAGTCCGGTGATCGGTGGTGAACTCGATGATCTTTGGCCCGAATCCTCATAGGCCGCACGGCATGACTCATTGGAAAGACCTCTATAGGCATGATGTTAGTTAGATGTACATCATGTATACCACTGTTGCCTGCACACAGTGTGTGTATGTGTGTTACTGAATGTTTGGATGGCTTTGTATCATGCTTTTTAGGTAGGGCTATCTTCCATCTTGGCTATTACTGTTCAATTTCGTCGCCTGTCTTGAATGTATGCGACATCGTAGAGTCTTGCAACAGGTTTTCATCGTCTACACATAATATAATAATTATTAAAATTGTTATAGTATTGAACCAAACCAGCTGCTGCTCTCTGCTTGTTCACGGACATGTACATGTAGCTGTGCTCATATTTCGAGAGACGGTACTTGGTATTAATATTATTTTCTTGATTGGCAATCTTGGCCCCGGCTAGCCTGATTTCATGCTTGTATTTTGCCTGACTTGACGTTCTTGCAGCTTGGCCTTGAGCTCCACAACTCTGAACTCTGAACTCTGAACCGCTACACGTTTGTTGGATTGACAGCATGAAACAAGGTGGAGGACACCGTGTTCGCAAGCAGTGACCTTTCTACAAGTACATGTACAGCCATCCACGGTTGGTAGAGCCCCGGTCCGTTGGGACCATGGCAACGCCAACGGACTGTGTTTCATGCTGTCAAACGAACAACATGTGACTACATTGTATGTCATACCGTGACTATGTGTGAACTAAAACAAGGTTTATCTAATACATGTACTTCAGTACCATGATTGTACTTCAGCACATTGTACTTATTTGTAGCGGGCTAGATATATTGTCAGCGTTGCCAAGGCAATAGCGCAGCCAGGCTTCACACCATACCAGGGAGTCGTAAAATACCGGTATTTTACGACTCCCTGCTTCAAACTAGCCGTCACTGTGCGCTCTCTCCATCTTGTCACTAAGAATTACACTGTCTCCAACGAGAATCACCTTCATGACCCCCCCCCCCCCCCCGGGTCACAGGTCCAGGAGCCATACTGATAGCAATGATCGTGTGTCGTTCATACCCTTTCCCCATTCCCATTCTCACGGGCGCCTGTCTTCCCTCATAGCTCATGATATCACTAGTGTCTCACCACCTCAAACCGTCTCGTGAAACTCTTATTTTCACCTCTGAATCTCGTATGCCCCCTATCCCATGCTCTATGATAACGTACTTGTACCATATACACGTACCAACATAACGTAATAGTCTCGTCTCAGTGTCGCCTGACTGCTCTTTGCACCTTTGAATCCCTGTATTGTTGTCCGGACATTGGTGGAGCTTCCTACCTGCCATAATAATACTACAGTGTCTGTTAGGAAACATACATGTACATCATGTACCAGTATTACTTTGAACTAGAGTCGCGTGTGATCCAAAGTGTGCAAAGGTGACACAGGAAGGACACACCAACGACAAGAGGGAACAGTAAAGAGCGACAAGAACACCCGAATCCGGCTAGAAACACCGAACACAATCATCACGTTGTTTCCAGCAGAGAGTGAACGGGTCCACTACATAACAGTACTTACATGTCATGTATCTCAACATCTGCAGTGCACAAACTACGAGTAAACATGGCAGTATACAATCATGTACATGTAGGTACATGTAAGCCACACTGTGTTGAAAGCAGTGCTCCTGACAAAAACATTGTCGCGACAACTGACAAAAGACTCCTAGTATAGGCTGTCCGAACCGGGGCCAGATCCCATACGGTTCAAATGGTCGCAAGTGCCTGAACTCGCTGAAGTCTGAAGAGCACCACTCATGTACTGTGTGTAGTGTTAGTCTCCAGGCCAAAACATCACCAGGGATACAAACTCACAGAGACTCTCCGTTTCCAGCGCGACAAACGCCTCGTAAACATCAGCTACTCAACTACTTCTCGAGCTCAACTCAGACAACTGATCATTGACATTGGTTGTACATGTATAGCCGGTTGTGACTCGGACGTGCAAACTTTACTTTTTTTACTGATCATTGGTGAAGCCGGCCCCGAAACACTGCGAGCAGGGAGTAGTGCTTTCTTGCAGGTTTTCGGAGTCCCGGGAAGGTTTGATGGACTTGTCGTGTGCTCCGGATGACAGTCGTGAGTCAGTCAAGTACCCAGTCAAGTCGGCGGGAAAGCGAGAGCCCAGTGGCAGTATTGGAGCAACTAACTACATGGTTTTGTATTGCGTTCCTGTTAAATTATCGCCGAAGTCGCTACAACTACATGTACATACAGTCATGTACATTGAAGTTATAGTTCTTTGTCTTTTGTGTGTGTGTGTGTGTGTGTGCGTGTGCGTGTGTGTGTGTGTGTGTGTGTGTGTGTGTGTGTGTGTGTGTTATAGCTGTTCGCTATCATCATGATCATCGCTTCCGCGATGGGCATGTCTGAGGTCTGAGGTGTGTTCACACAAGGAGTAAGAACGGCATAATCACTTACTGACTACTGACTGTCAATGAGCTTTAAAGCATACATGTAGAAGAAGACGACACCTGTCATAAGACTGTTACCTTCATAACATACCAATGGAGTTAGGCTGACGTGTTGTTCCTCAGAGTTTCATCATGGTTATCCACCACTTCTCAGACAATAATTATGATACTGGTGAAAAATGAAAATGCAATCTCATCACCTCACATCAAGGCGCCTTCATCTTCGTCCCTATCTGCTTTGCTAAAATTGCCACGGTAGTTTTCATCACTCCTCTCCTGTAATCTTAGGCACTTTGCACTAATAGTATCAATACTATCATCATTGTTGTCTGAGGATTGGTGGATAACAATAAAACTCTGAGTAACAACGTACATGTACATGTACTTCAGCCTAGTTCTATTGCTAACTAATCGTGTTTTGGCTCTACACAGTATACTCGTGGGACAGTGTACTAGTACTTGTAGCAAGGGTTTAGCCACATAGCCTGTGACTGTTACCTTCATATCACTACAGTAGTTATTGGTCCACTCACTCCGCGATCCAGTGTGGGAATCGGTATCGGTGCCGTTAGAAATGCAATCAATCACGTCTTTGTACAGTCATGACGAGTGATGTCCTTGGACCACCGGCGAATCCTTCGACCTGCGCGTTGAGAAACACAAAGGAAGTAATTAGTTCTTACTTGTGCCACGCCGCCACCATGCCTGGGAAAGTGGAATATCACGCCACGATGGAAGATGGCGTTAGATGCAGCGCGCTTGTACTTTGTAGCGACAACCAATACCCGTAAGAGTACAATGTATTTTGATGATCTAGTGTACTGGTATGATTCACGACTGCCAGCACTTTTTTTAGTTACTGTACCACTGTTACGTTTTCTTTGCTTCAGTTCTTCGTTCCTAGATTTCGGACGTTTAGTGGTGGTGCAGTTTTCATAAGACAGGCTTTTGCACTGTACTGTACTGGTGAGCTCCACGCTCCCCTCCCCCCCCCCCCCCCCACTTGACTCGTGGAGTCTGAGTGCGCGCGCACGCACACACACACACACACACACACACACACACACACACACACACATACACACACACCACACACACACACACACACACCACACACACACACACACACACACGCGCGCGCACACACACACACACACACACACACACACACACTCACGCTCTTTGTCTTGCACCTCACATGACTGTCCTGAGCTACGCTGAGCAGAGCGCTGGGATATCGATCAGCCTTCTGTACCTGCGGCTCTGTCTTATCGTCACCGACGTCAGGGCTACATGTTTGGTAGTACATGTACATTGTACTTTGACAGTCAGTAGTGTTGCAGTGTTGCCACTGATGAACCGTCGGAAGCCGAAACAGTCCGTAGAGCACCGAGTAGCGCTGGCATTTTCAGTACTGTAGTTGGTAACTATCTTCTACTGCCGGTATAATACAATGTACTTGCGTTGTCATTGTCGATTTGTTTGACATGGACTACTGCATGACTTTGTAGTGTAGATGAATTTGTCTGTCAAGATCAAGACGCATCGACAGGCCTTGCGGTGTCGCGACACTTCGTCGAGATTTGGTTCACACCGCGACGCTTCATCGCGAGCCATTTCACCACCCTGCTGTCGAGCAGCGCGGTTCTGGCAAGACTAGCAGTCACGGTTCGGACCACTGATCCTCCGATCCGGTTTGTGAACTGCAAATTATTTTTCAGCCACTGACCTGGTGAATGTTTGCCCGCCCCAGCCTCACGTGTGGTTCTGAACAGAACACCAGCCGCTGCAAGTCACCCATGTCCCAAAGAGCACTGTCACCTTACCATTTCGCAGGCCTGGCGGAAAAACTTCAGCAGAGATCATGGACATGGAAAAGCTGATTATGTCGCCTGACCGGGCTGAAGATGTGGCCAAAGCTTCCGCTTCCACCAGACAAGAGCTCTGCCTTGACAATGACATGCCTGCGTCAGAAATGGACAATCTGCTGCAGGATGACACAAGTACAGCCTCACAGAAAGAACGTGACAACAAAAATGCAGACGGAAAGGTCGGAGGATCATTTTCTCGGGCAAAAGGCCTTAGCGCGTTCTCTGCTAGCGGAATGATCATGGTGTCCATTGTGCTTCCTATATCAATGCCATATGCCTTGGCACAGGCATCCTTGGTTGGTGGTGTAATGCTTATAATATTGGGAGCAATGGTTATGTTGTACATGGCTATGCTAGTGGGCAGATGCTGGGTGATTATGATGGAAACTTGGCCCGATCGGTACAGTCATCAGAAAGTGAGACGTGTCTACCCTGCTATAGCCAAGGAGGCCGGTGGTCGTTTCTGGGAAATAGCTACTCTGATCTCAGTGGACTTCACAAACTTTGGAATTGCTGTCGTAATGCTTCTCGCTGCAGCATCAATGGCAGATGTGTTATTGCCTGGTCACTTCTCTGTTAGGATATTGGCAGTGTTTGGGTCAATTCTTCTTCTACCTCTGGTTTCTTTTGGCACTATGATGGATGCTTGGTGGTTGGGAACGTTAGGAGTGCCACTAACATTGTCTGCCGGACTCACTATGCTGCTTGCAGTTATCTTGAGTAAAGTGTACCCTGAAAACACAATTTCACACCCAGGCTCACCAATAGCCAGTCATCAGACAATGATGATATCTCAAACAAACATGACATCATCTCCCTGGACGATGACATCATCTCCCTGGACGATGACATCATCACCATTATCATCCACAGGATCTGCTATTCAGCTCCACAAGACCAGCAGTAACGTCACGTTCCCCTCATTCTGGATTGGCTTGTCGACAATAGTATTTGCCATGTCACCAATGTCCATCACGCCCACAGTGCAACATGACATGCGCATGCCGGAACACTACACACGCGCCGTCTTCCCTGCGTTTACTACTTCAGTTCTGATGTGCTTGTCTATAGGAGTGGTTGGCGTGGAGGCTTTCGGCCAACACTCCCATCCAAACACACTCAGCAGTGTGCGATGTCGCAGCTCCCCAACAGTGCAGGTCGTCGGCAAGATCAGCTCTGCGTTCAATTGTATTTATAGCCTGGGTATCGTACTGCTATCACTGCTACCACTATCGCAACACCTGGAGGAGGCAGTAAATCTACCTGCAAGTAAGTCATTAAAGTAGGCCTACATTGCTGAGGATGATGCATGGGCTTGAGAAACGGAAAGAGACAAGCCAAGGCAGTGAAAACAACAATGCACTTCGAAGTTTCTTCTCTAATACAAAACATGGGTGCATATGCCTCCCGCTCTCTCTCTCTTTCTCTCTCTTCTCTCTCTCTCTCTCTCTCTCTCTCTCTCTCTTTCTCTCTCTCTCTCTCTCTCTCTCTCTCTCTCTCTCTCTCTCTCTCTCTCTCTCTCTCTCTCTCTCTCTCTCTTCACTCTTTCCCTCTCCACTCACCCCTATCTTTCAACTTATTCTTTTCCCATTTCTCTCTTTTCCCTCTCTCTCGTTCTATAACTCTCTCTCTACCTTCCCATCCGCCTCTCTCTATAACTTTCTCTGTCTCTCTTCCTCTCTCTCTCTCTCTCTCTCTCTCTCTCTCTCTCTCTCTCTCTCTCTCTCTCTCTCTCTCTCTTCACTCTTTCCCTCTCCACTCAGCCCTATCTTTCAACTTATTCTTTTCCCATTTCTCTCTTTTCCCTCTCTCTCGTTCTATAACTCTCTCTCTCTCTACCTTCCCATCCGCCTCTCTCTATAACTTTCTCTGTCTCTCTTCCTCTCTCTCTCTCTCTCTCTCTCTCTCTCTCTCTCTCTCTCTCTCTCTCTCTCTCTCTCTCTCTCTCTCTCTCTCTCTCTCTCTCTCTCTCTCTCTCTCCGAGTGTCTCTCTGCCTCTGTCTGTCTGTCTGTCTCTATCTGTCTCTGTCTCTCTCCTTATCTCTCGCCCTCCCTCCCTTGCTCTGTCGCCCTCCCTCTACCCTTCCCTCCTCCTCCTCTCTCTCTCACTCCCTGTCTTTTTCTCAATCATACACACTTTTTCCATAGACTTTGACGTCACTTGAAGAGGTAACGTTAGAGAATCGAGATCCATGCAACTCGTAGTGTGATGTTACCAGTACAGTACATGAATACTTCAGTTTCTCACAATGGCCCATGGGCCATGGTCACATGACAGTAATTCCGGTAGTTGTTATGATGTTAAAAAACAATCTAGACGCAACAGGTGTTTAGAAAGGTCATTTGCACAGAAGTATGGTCTTCACAGGCTGGTGATCTTGATGCGAAGGTCAATCTGTATGCTGATGTTTGGCTTGGGTCTCTTGTGACAGTGGTTTCTTAGCTCACTGCCAGACCACAGCGGTCACTAAACACAGATTTACTGTGCATGGACTTTGTTGCTCAATGAAATCCGATTGTGCAAGTCTAGGTAACCCTGGGCTCTGTGCAGCCCCAGACATGTGAACACTGGGTGTTTGCACTGGTGCAGGGCGCTGACTTGACTCACACGATCGGATTTCAGCACTGTATCAGCTGACTATTCCTACGTCTATCTTTCCCCATTCCCTGCTTGTGCACTGTAGAAGTTGGTTTCAAGCACATCCTGGCTCGCGTAAGCACCTTAGTGCTTACTCTTGCTGTGGGCTTGGCTCTGCCTGAATTCCACAAGTATGCCTCGTTGATTGGTGCATCGTCAATGGCGCTCAACAACTTCATCTTTCCCCCACTGTTCTACTATTGGATTGTGAAGAAAGCTACCGGTGTTACCTTGCACCGCGCTCAGATAGGTTTCTTTCTATTTGTGCTGGTCGTCGGCGTAATTACTGGACTTGCCGGGACCTATGCTGCAATTCGGAATATTGTTGTAAACTCAAGGTCGCCACTCTGTTAGCTCCGTCACTGTAGTAAGCTGTGATAACCATACAGGCATACAGGCATAGGATCACACACTCTCAGCAGTCTGGACAGGTCTAGGAATCGTCCTCGATCTCGCCTTCAAATTTCCTCTGGAAGGACTAGACTTGGTGTGAGATGTACATGTACATGACATATTGCATTGTATATCCTCGTTGTTTGATGTACATGTACATTGTATATGTATATCCTCCGACGGCTGTTTGATGTTCACATTGTGTACCTGTGTTACTGCATGTTTTGATGGCTGCGTAGTATCATGCTCTTTACATGTATTCAAAGAGTGGTTGGCTACCTTCCATCTTGGCTGCAGCTGCCCGCTCATTGTTGTTGGCTGGCATGAAGGCACAACATAAGACTGGCATCATGCTCTAGCATTTTACGTTCGGTTCAGGTAGTACATGTACCTAGTACCTACTCTACCCAAGTATCCAGCAAGGTAATAACAATTGCCAGTTACATGGTACCACTCCCTGGTGGTGGTGGTGGTGGTGGTGGTGGTGGTGGTGGTGGTGGTGGTGGTGGTGGTGGTGGTGGTGGTGGTGGTGGTGGTGGTGGTGGTGGTGGTGGTGGTGGTGGTGGTGGTGGTGGTGGTGGTGGTGGTGGTGGTGGTGGTGGTGGTGGTGGTGGTGGTGGTGGTGGTGGTGGTGGTGGTGGTGGTGGTGGTGGTGGTGGTGGTGGTGGTGGTGGTGGTGGTGGTGGTGGTGGTGGTGGTGGTGGTGGTGGTGGTGGTGGTTGTGGTGGCGGTGGCGGTGGCGGTGGCGGTGGCGGTGGCGGTGGCGGTGGCGGTGGCGGTGGCGGTGGCGGTGGCGGTGGCGGTGGCGGTGGCGGTGGCGGTGGCGGTGGCGGTGGCGGTGGCGGTGGCGGTGGCGGTGGCGGTGGCGGTGGCGGTGGCGGTGGCGGTGGCGGTGGCGGTGGCGGTGGCGGTGGCGGTGGCGGTGGCGGTGGCGGTGGCGGTGGCGGTGGCGGTGGCGGTGGCGGTGGCGGTGGCGGTGGCGGTGGCGGTGGCGGTGGCGGTGGCGGTGGCGGTGGCGGTGGCGGTGGCGGTGGCGGTGGCGGTGGCGGTGGCGGTGGCGGTGGCGGTGGCGGTGGCGGTGGCGGTGGCGGTGGCGGTGGCGGTGGCGGTGGCGGTGGCGGTGGCGGTGGCGGTGGCGGTGGCGGTGGCGGTGGCGGTGGCGGTGGCGGTGGCGGTGGCGGTGGCGGTGGCGGTAACTAATTTCTTACTACCGGTAATACTTTATAGCTTATACATGTACCACTCTCTGTTAGCACTAGCCACTACCAAGCCTAACTAACTACTAGTAGTACTGTACTAGTACAGTCATGTACATTGTACGTCATCGACTGTTTGTTGAATGAACTATTAAAGTAACGTAACCTGTCGTTGTTGAAGTAGTCGGGTCGTTCATAACATATGATTTTCCTGGCTACCGGTATGTTCCCATTCTGCATTGAGCACCAAGCTGCAACTCCGGACCGACATTATCATTTTTGTATGCCTTGCATGCCAGTCAAGAACACTCACTGCATTTTGAAATAGACTCGGGTGGAGAGCCAGGGATTAATTTTTAAGAAGAAAAGAGGACCAATGAGCTACAAGTTACGCTATGCTATGCACTTACACCAGTTACTTTACAATCAGCTCATGCGATAACACTATAACAGTCGATCTTCTAATCTTTAGAGTAATTTGTAATTTTGTAATTTTTATTGTTTAAGGATTCCTCAAAGGCTTTCGCCTATCGACGGGGTTTCCAAACTTTCCATAATACCAAATCTGTGAAAGAAGTGATGAGCTATAGGTAAGCAAAGAAAGAGAAAATACATAGTCTAGGGCAGAGCTCTGCGCTTGAGCATATGATTGTAAGCTTGCAGAACTGGGATAATACATGTAAATGATGAAAAATGTGCCAGAGATAAGCTTCTAAAGAATATGATGTGACGCTACATATTCAACGGAATCTCGCTTAAACTGGTTAAGGAGGTGATCTTAGGGGGCAGACAATTCCAGAGGGTGCTGTATTTATGGAAAAAGAGATTTGAACAGCGTTGTCCATGGTTTGTCAATATCAGCTTATCGGGACGTCGTGCACTGGTTGTGATATGTATACCAAAATTAGATAAGTAGTGGGGACTGGGGATAGACATTAACGTACTTGAAGAGAAGGACAAGAGAGATGTGTTGCCTTCTATAATGCAAAGACTCTAGAAAACATAGCTTATTAAGATTTTCCTTCGTTTCATGTGTGTCAAACTGAACTGCTTTCTTCCGCAAAAAGGCGCGGCATACCTTAGCCTGCAGAACATCCAATGCTGAAAGTTGCTTTGCACTTATGGCAATGCCAGACCGGAATTGCATATTCTAACGCAGGCCGAACATACTGTTTGTATAGCAATAATGTTACAGATGGTGGTAGAGACCGTGCCATGAAGCATAGCAGATGCACTCTCCTAGAGACAGAGGTGGTGTCGTACTGGGCATCAAACTGCAGCAACGACGTCAGCTGCACACCGAGATGCTTACAAGTGTCTGCGCGACAAAGGTCGATGCCATCAATCTGCAAAGATGGGAGACAAGTTGCTTCAGTGTGATGAGAGAGAACTGTTGGCACACAAGTTAGTTGTGTGGTATGTTGCTATGCGTCCTTGAATCGTGGTTTGGCCGTTTTGTCTAGTAATGGTCTTACCAGTATCGTCCTCGACATACATGTACATCTACATCCGCCAACGTCCTTCACAGCTGAGACTCTCAGTTCGTGCTTGTCTTGGTTGCGCTCACCTTCCCCTCCTCATGTTATTTCTAACTTAGAACCTTCCAAGTTGGAAGGCTGTTGGAGTGCACATCCGAGATGTGCTAGAGCTGATAGCCAGTTAGGTGTAGAAGTAATTAGTTAGAACGTCAGTACCGTTGGTCAGTGTCGTGCAATGTTATCGCATGATAACAATTATCATCTGATTGTAAAGTAACTGGTGGTATCAGTGGATAGCATAGCGTAACTTGTAGCTGGTCCTCTTTTGAATTATTTTCTATGTTTACTACACGTACATGTATGTTCACATCGCACCACCGCAGGCTACTTTTGCGCCTACAACAACAACTTTGTCGTCAACGGCAGGAGTGGCAGCGGAGGAACCCGTACAGTCAGAGTCACACTGCGGACGGGTTGTGCAGTGAACAGGTGAATGCCGGACCAGGGCCTCTGGCTCTGGGACTGTCGCGTCGTCTGGCCTTCCCGGCTTCCGTTTCTCTCACCTCGTCGACATGCATACAGATTCTAACGCCATCATTCTGTATGCATGTCCCAGCAGCGCCGCTGCGTTTCGTTATCACCTTTAGAACTTTTGTCACTTTCAACTATTAAACGTTACTTACTTTTTTGAGTATGCCATTTTTCTACCACTTTACCCTACCCACTGATATGAGGACTCAGAGGAGCTCTTATTACAAATTTCAAATGAGCGAAACAGCTGTCTGGAGGATATGGAGCATCTACCCAAGTCAAGAACGAACTAACTTCCTCGCTATGGAGTGGTGACCGTGTGGTGATTCTGGTGAATGTGGGCCAAGACAAGAGTGCAGTGTGGAGAGGTGGACCGGGTTCAGATTATGTTCACATACATCATGTACATAAAGACTACTGCAGTAGTATTGTACATAACCAGCTCGAACATGAGACATTGAGAGACACTGCCCACTACCCAGTACGCGCGTTATTAGTGCTCTCATGGCCATCTACGCCCGTACATCACTCATGTTATGATCAGGTAGATCCACATCGCACCAAATATTTTGGGAGCGATGTAGATAGTAGACTACCATGATGTGTTATCATGCATGGCCAAGTTATGTGCGTGTTCCAGCGTTCCAAATCCCGGCCCATCTGCGCCCATACTTTGTGTTCCAGGGCCCGGGGCTAGCAGTTCTCATAAAAGATTTAGAAGTGCCAGTAACTATTACTTACTAAGTGGTGCTACATGTACAATCATAGACATGATGTAGATCTACTGTACAACGTCATGTACATGTATCGGTAGAATGACGTGGCAGCCACTGCACTGATGATGTCAGTGATGAACCGTCGGAAGCGGAAACAAACATAATAATAATAATAACTCTTGGTCTACTGATTACGAGTCGCGACGCATTTTTTAGTTCTGTAGTAAGTCTGTACAAGGTATTATAATACCTATAAACTATCTTCTCCTGTGAGTAGTTTATACGTTGTTATGTCATTGTAGACTTGTTTGACGTGGACTACTACATGCAGTGTAGATGAATTCGTCTGTCGAGATCAAGACGCGTCAACAGGCCGTGCATGCTGTCGAGCAGGCCGGGTGGTTCTGGCATAGCAGTCACGGCTAAGGCCACCGCCGCACCGATCCTCCGAACCGGTAACAGGTTTCCGAACTGCAAATTATTTTTCAACCACTGACCTGGTGAATGTTTGTCCGCCCCAGCCTCACGTGTGGTTCTGAACAGAACACCAGCCGCTGCAAGTCACCCATGACCATGTCCCAAAGAGCACTGCCTGTCACCTTACCATAGACTCAGGCATTACGCAGGCCTGGCGGAAAAGCTTCAGCAGAGATAATGGACATAGAAAAGCTGATCATGTCGCCTGCCCGGGCTGAAGATGTGACCAAAGCTTCCGCTATCACCGGACAAGAGCTCTGCCTTGACAATGACATGCCTGCGTCAGAAATGGACAATCTGCTGCAGGATGACACAAGTTCAGCCTCACAGAATGAACGTGACAACAAAAATGCTGACGGAAAGGTCGGAGGATCATTTTCTCGGGCAAAAGGCCTTAGCGCGTTCTCTGCTAGCGGAATGATCATGTTGTCCATTGTGCTTCCTATATCAATGCCATATGCCTTGGCACAGGCATCCTTGGTTGGTGGTGTAATGCTTATCATACTGGGAGCAATGGTTATGCTGTACATGGCTATGCTAGTGGGCAGATGCTGGGTGATTATGATGGAAACTTGGCCCGATCAGTATAGTCATCAGAAAGTGAGACGTGTTTACCCTGCCATAGCCAAGGAGGCCGGTGGTCGTTTCTGGGAAATAGCTACTCTGATTTCAGTGGCATTCACGAACTTTGGAGCTGCTGTTGTAATGCTTCTCGCTGCAGCGTCAATGGCAGATGTGTTATTGTCCGGCTACTTCTCTGTTAGGATATTGGCAGTGTTTGGGTCAATTATACTTCTGCCTCTGGTATGCTTTGGCACTATGATGGATGCTTGGTGGCTGGGAACGTTAGGAGTGCCATTAACACAGTCTGCCGGACTCACTATGCTGCTTGCAGTTATCTTGAGTAAAGTGTACCCTGAAAACACAATTTCACACCCAGGCTCACAAATAGTCAGCCAAACGACAATGCTGATACCTCAAACAAACATGACATCATCTCCCTGGACCATGACATCATCACCAATATCTTCCACAGGATCTGCTATTCCCTTCCAGGAGAGCGGCAGTACCGTCACGTTCCCATCATTCTGGATTGGTTTGTCCACGATAGTATTTGCCCTATCGCCCATGTCCGTCATGCCCACAGTGCAACACGACATGCGCATGCCGGAACACTACACACGCGCCGTCTTGCCGGCGTTTACTACTTCAGTTCTGATGTGCTTGTCTATAGGAGTGGTTGGCGTGGAGACTTTCGGCCAATACTCCCATCCAAACACACTCAGCAGTGTGCGGTGTCGCAGTTCCCCGGCAGTGCAGGTCGTCGGCAAGATCAGCTCTGTGCTCAATTGTATTTATAGCCTGGGTATCGTATTGCTAGCATTGATACCACTATCGCAAAGCTTGGAGGAGGCAGTAAATCTACCTGCAAGTAAGTCATTAAAGTAGGCCTACATTGCTGAGGATGATGCATGGACTTGAGAAATGGAATGAGACAAGCCAAGGCAGTGAAAGCAACAATGCACTTCGAAGTTTCCTCTCTAACACAAAAATGGATGCCTTTCCCTCCTCTCTCTCTGTCTCTGTCTCTCTCTGTCTCTCTCTCTGTCTCTCTCTGTCTCTCTCTCTCTTTCTCTCTCTCTCTCTCTCTCTCTCTCTCTCTCTCTCTCCCTCCCTCCCTCTCTTTCTCCCTCTATATCATTCTATTTGTCTCTTCCTTCCCCTCCCGTCCCTCTCCCCTGTCTTTGTCTCAATCATACACACTGCTTCCATAGACTTTGGTGTAAGAGGTAGAGAATTGAGATCTATGCATCTCGTAGTGTAATGTTACCAGTGCATGAAGTCTTCAGTTTCCCATAATGCCTAATTGCCCATGGTTACGTGATAATAATAGTTTTCATGATGTTTAAATTTAAACTTTAAAACCAATCTAGACGCAACAGGTGTTTAGAAAGGTCATTTGAACAGAAATCTGGTCTTCACGGGCTGGTGATCTTGATGCGAAGGTCGATCTGTATGCTGATGTTTGGCTTGGGTCTCTTGTGACAGTGGTTTCTTAGCACACTGCCAGACCACAGCGGTCACTAAACACAGACGTTTACTGCGCATGGACTTTGCTGCTCAATGAAATCCGATTGTGCAAGTCTAGGTAACCCTGGGCTCTGTGCAGCCCCAGACCTGTGAACACTGGGTGTTTGCACTGGTGCATGCAGGGTGCTGACTTGACTCACAAAATCGGATTTCAGCACTGTATCAGCTGACTATTCCTACGTCTATCTTTTCCCTATTCCCTCCATGTGCACTGTAGAAGTTGGTTTCAAGCACATCCTGGCTCGTGCATGCACCTTAGTGCTTACTCTTGCTATGGGCTTGGCTCTGCCTGAGTTCCACAAGTATGCCTCGTTGATTGGTGCATCGTCAATGGCGCTCAACAACTTCATCTTTCCTCCGCTGTTCTACTACTGGATTGTGAAGAAAGCTACCGGTGCCACCTTGCACCGTGCTCAGATAGGTTTCTTTCTATTTGTGCTGGTCGTCGGCGTAATTACTGGACTGGCTGGGACCTATGCTGCAATCCGGAATATTGTTGTAAACTCAAGGCCACCAGTGTGTTAGCTCCGTCACTGTAGTAAGCTGTGATAACCAGACTGGCATTCAGGCGTAGGATCACACACTCTCAGCAGTCTGGACCGGTATAGGAATCGTCCTCGATCTCGCCTTCAAATTTCCTCTGGAAGGACTAGACTTGGTGTTCATTGTATATCCTCCGACGGTTGCTTGCTGTACACAGTGTGTGCCTGTGTTACTGTATGTTTGGATGGCTGCGTAGTATCATGCTCTTTACATGTCCAGTAAAACCTGGTTTAAGCGACCACCCCACGGTGCAAGCAAAAGCGGTCGTTAAAGCCAGGTGGTCTTTAGAACCAGGTCCCACGGTGTCTTTGTAGAACTGTCGGTGCATGGAAAGACGGTCGTTAAGAGCAGGTGGTCGCTAAACCCAGAGGTCGCTTACACCAGGTTTTACTGTACATGTAAGAGTGGCTGGCTACCTTCCATCTTGGCTGCAGCTGTTCACTGTTGTTGGCTGCCATGAAGGCACAACATAAGACTTACATCATGCTCTTGCATTTGGGTTCCTATCGTTAGTACTACATGTACAGTAGGTATCGGTTATAGCGTGGGTGTTTGAAAAACGACATTTGATTCTTATTGCCGATATTTCTTACACACGATAAATCACGTGTGACATATCATATGCGCGCACGTTTGGCATGTGGACACGTACATGTACACACGGATCAATCAGACTCGCGGTCGTGCTAGGCGACTGCGGAGCAGCGGATACGAAAGAAGTCGAAAGAAAGAGTCCGACTGGACAGAAAAAGTGATTCTCCAATGCTCCCTTGGACATAACTCTCTTTTTGTGTTGAATTATTGTATTGAGTATGCACAGAGCACAGATGTTATTACTACAGGCGATACACTTTGCGCTAATCTGGCATATTTTGCTACACAAAATCCATTCTTAGGGCCGATATATTCTACTATGCGATAATACTGCTTGTAAGAATAAATATACACATAAAATATGTGTTATGATTATGAAAAAATGAGTGTTCATTCTTGTAAGCAGTATATTCTTGTATACGACCACACTATAACCGATACGCACTGTACATGTACCAGGTAACCTACCTTAGTCCTACTCATGGGTAATTCTTATTTTTTGCATGCATTGCCAGTCAAGAGTACTCGCTACTGCCCCTCACGATTTTACAGTGACTAGTATGGGGTCTCCTGACACATTGACATTGTTGTGTCTTATCTACAGTTCTACCTACGTAAGTCGTTACGTGTGCGTGCATTGTTTTTAAAATAATAATAATAATAATATTATTATGAAGGGTCAGGGAGGCAGGCATTGGGGCGCTGGGGTTACTTTAAGTTAGTGCGCGCTGGAATTGTTTGCTCTTTGTCTTTTCGAGGAGTTTCGTTTTTCTGAAGAGGTGGCCTTATTGGCCTCTTCAGAAAAACGAAGCTCCTCGAAACTCCCCGAAACTCCACAACCTCACCCGATGGGAGAGGTGGATTAGTTTCGAAGAGTTTGGAATAGCTACGTCACGTAGTACGTGGAGATAGTCGGTCCGATTGGACGTCATCATCGCCATGACAATTCTACTGAAAAACTCTAAATTGATAGAAACCGTTCTAATGGGACAATTCAACTAATCTCTTTATAAAATTTGTTTGAACAGTTGATGAATAGCCATTGGCGGACTATGCTCGGCCAATCGTCAAATTACCGTATTTCCCTGTAAGTTAGTACATACATGTACTAACTTTCGAACTTAGCAGCCACATGAGTACTAACTTTCGGGGGTGGTACTATCTTTCGGGGAGTACTTTTTTATCGGGGGTAAATGACACGCAGTGGGAAGCCTGCGCAACTCTAGTGTCCGTGCATATGATGTACAATGTATGTACTGTACGGTGTCTGTACATGTAGGACGGGTACGAACTTACTATCTTTTGGGGGGAACTGTCTTTCGGGGTGATAACCTCGGCAGTGGAAAGTGTATTTTTATAGGGGGGTACTAAGTCATTGGGGAGAACTAACTTACGGGGAAATACGGTATGCTTTTGATTATGCCACAATTATGCCAACAAATATGCTGAATTATGCGCTCGGTTCCACTATGTATTCACGCTGTACATAGAGGATTGAGAAACCACGCATACACACACGGCCATGCCCTAAGCATAATTTTTGTCTAAACCGAAAGATTATGCCGACCTTACACGTTGGAATCCGTATATTATGCCGGAGCATAATTTTTTGACGAAATCCCAAGATTATGCCAAATATTATGCCGGCATAATCCGCCAAGGGCTATTGATGAAGACAATTCGAACGCGGCCTTAGGGGTCGTCGCAAAAGTTTTTTGTCGTCCCTGAAACGAACATGATCCATTTGGGGTGGGGGGGGGGGGGAGGGGGTGCGAGCCAAAATCGCGATTTTCGTCGTCCATGGTCCAGCATAGCAAGCTGTGTTCGTTTCAGAGGGAGGGAAGGGGGTCCAAGTACGAAATGGACGATGTTCGTTTCAGGGACGACAGGAAACTCTTGCGACGACCCCTTACTGCCTTAGTAAGTAATTTATGGGGAAGGACCTGCATGTACATGTACATGTACATGTACATGTATGCCATGGTCACTGTTGCCTATAGTGGAACCTGTCAGGGCGACCACTCGGATAAGGCGACCACCTGTCCGAGATGACCAATGAAACCATGATTGTTACCATGACCAAGGGATGCTATATCCAGTCAAATGACCCTGGATAAGGAGACCGCCTGGTAACAGAGACCACAATTTTGAAGGTACCATGAGCGGTCGTCTTAGACAGGTTTCACTGAGTCTGTACATGTACTAGTGTCAGACTAAAGAGGCGAATTACCATGGCTACCTTGTCGACAAGGCCAAGGCCAGGGCGTCGATACGCGATGGTAGGTTTCACCTCGGACATTTTTACAACCGGGGCGGTAGTCTCAGACTCTACGCCCATCATTCTTTGTGAGCATAAAAAGGTGAAAGCACAAGTGCGCAGCACGTCTGCAACTAAAATAATATTACTTACAAGTAGAATCGTTACTGACGCGGCATGGCCCTGCCGTAGGGCGGGTATAATAATGATAACGAGTCCATAATCTACTCCTCTCTCCACCGCGGCTTGAGATAGCTGTTTTCATGCCAGTCCGAGCTGTGCTCGCGCAGTGCGAGTAAGTAACATAGTTAGTCTACGCTTGCGGAACCGGTAGAACAAGAAAACAGCTGGACCAGATATTACAACACAACGCGGCCATAGGCCAATGGTAGATCATGTGTAGTGCTGCCTTGCTCCGAATTTGAGTTGTTCTTGGGCCAGGCTACTTCGACATCGGTCATCCCTGTGTACGGGTGTGACTCTGTGAGGCAGGTCGATGAAGCTGAGACTATGTCCACCAAATCGGAAGATGTCATCCCAGCAGTCAGTTCTGCTGACGAGGAGACGTGTAGATGTACAGGTGCCACATCCGAGAGTGAAAATCTGCTGCCTGCTGAAAAGAGTGCAGCATTGCACGAGCAAGGAACTACTGCACCTGGAGCGGTGGAGAGTGGCAGCGGCCGGTTTTCCCGGTCTAAGGGATTGACGTTGTGGGTAACCAAAGGAATGATACTGGTGACTATCATATTCCCAGTTTCCGTTCCGTACGCCATGGCAAACGCTACATTGCTGGGCGGTGTGATGCTGATATTGCTGGCCTCCACTGTTATGATGTACATGGCTGTGCTGGTTGGCAGGTGCTGGGTGATACTGATGGAAACGTGGCCGGAGCGGTACCGTCATCGGGAAGTCCGGGCACCGTACCCAGCGATTGCCAAAGAGGCTGGGGGTCGTTTCTGGGAGGTCCTCATGATGCTCTCGATAAGTTTCACAAACCTTGGAACATCCGTGGTGCTCCTGCTCGCGGCCGCGTCCACTGCGGATGTGCTGCTGCCTGGTCACTTTTCCATTCGGGTGTGGACGGTGATTTGCACCATCGTCTTGCTGCCCCTGGTGTGCTTCGGAACGATGCGGGATTCGAAGTGGCTCGGAGTGTTTGGAGGCCCTGTGGCATTCCTTGCGGGCCTCTGCATGCTCTTATCTGTTGTCCTGAGCAGAGTGTTCACGGAGAATAGTACTATTGGTGACTTGCAGCGGCAGTGGCCCGGAACAGGAACTCCATCCAATGTATCAAGTTCCGTTCCGTGGACCATAGGCTTGGCTACGTCTAGACCGGGCAGCACTGCCCGTGTATCTCCACCGCATCATGACGACGGCACTAGGAATACACTGACATTCTCATCCTTTTGGGTCGGCGTGACGACAATTGTATTCACACTGTCGCCGATGGGCACCATTCCGACGATACAACACGACATGAAGAAACCCGATCTCTACACCCGTGCCGTTATTCCTGCTTATATAGTCGCCGTTCTGTTCGACCTTTCCGTCGGAGTAGTTGGTATGGACACATTTGGTCAGCGGTCGAACCCGAACATCTTGCGGAACGTGCAGTGTCGCAGCTCTCTGGCTGTGCGAATCATGTTAAAAATCAGCAGCACGCTGAGCTGTGTAAACTTCTTGTGCGTCACCATGGCTACTGTGCTACCGTTGACGCAGCACGTGGAGGAGGCTGTAAAACTACCGTTGAACGGTGAGTGTTGCCCTGTGCTTCCGTTAGGCTGCCACCACACACCGTATTCTCCTTTCACAGTGTGTTGTGTTCGTATTTGCGTCTGCCGTCTTCCTGGCTGCAGCCAAGGGCTTAGTTGTACAGTGTATATGAAATAGGGCTCCGAAGTGCTCTAAACATCAAACATACATTTTTAATTAACGATTCGTTGGAAGAAACAGCTTTTCTAGGTGTCCCGTGCTGATGGGTAGAGGCTAGTGTGGCCGATTTCCAATTACCTATGCATTACAATCATGTATGCATGTACATCCGTGAACCCCAATGAGGGAGGATTTTTAGCTGGACCCTCCCCCCCCCCCCCCCCCACACACACACACCTGCGATTTCTGTTCATGTCATGGGCTTCTGGGCACTTTTGCGATAGTACCTAAGGGGCCGTCCGTAAATATCGATGTTTTTTTAGAGACGATATTGGTGCTTCTCTCCCGTGACCCCCCCCCCCTCCCCCCAGAAGACGCACATGTACATCTAGATCATGGAATCAATATTTTTGGATGCTCATTTTTTTCCTTTTTTTGTCAATAATATGAACCCAAGATGGCAAGTTTGCAGTATTTATTATGGTCTAATTGAGAAGGAGAGCATTATGACTTTTTTGGTCGCCCTCGAGAACACTTGGGGCCAACAGCCTTCTTGTGCTGCATTAGAAGGTCTCCTGCAGGCATCGTTCGGCCGATTTCCACAATCAATAGCTCATTCTTTTGCTCTTGAAATTCGCCATGGGCGTACAGCTTCCAATTTTTGATTTTGTTCTTGTGTCGCGAGTTTTAGCTCCGCGAACGGAAGCTGGTTTCACATTTCTTGTATAGCCATTTAGACGTCCGCGTGCAGGGATCGGCGAAACTTCAGATATTTACATCGATATTTTTCTGATGCTCGAAAAGACGCACATGGCTCAAACCCCCTCCCCCCCAGACGCACCAATATCGTCTCTAAAAAAACATCGATATTTACGGACGGTCCCTAAGGGCCTGGTCAGACTGCGGCAAATTTTGGTTGCCTGACGAAAAAAGAAAAGCATCCAGAATTTGAATCGTGATCACACTACACATGTGGGGAGAATGAAAATTCAAACTTCATTTCGAGCGTCAAGTGGTAATCTCCACGAACGACGTCAAATTCCTTCACCTTGTGGATCGCCAACACCTTCAGTGCAATCCTTGCAACCATCCTTATGAGTTTTGTTGTTGTCCGTGGCCAATTAGCTCCTCGATATCGAGATGAAAAAATAAGTGAATATCAGCGTCCATGGCGTATCAGTGTCAAACTCCTGTTTGGAGCGGAAAAGCGTGGTCCGTCAGTCTTGTTTTTTTTGGAGCGTCAACTCCCGCTTTCGCCGCTCTGGCGGCAAGTTACTATGGAGATTCGGATTATAATCCCAGGATTATTTCGATTTTGCCGCAGTCTGACCAGGCCCTTAGAGGTGCCATCCGTGAATATAGATACTTTTTCAAGGGACTTTTGTAGTTTTTGTTGAGGGGATTCGAGGCCTCAGAGTAATCAATATTGATACAGTGGTCAGAGTACATAATGTGCTTATAATGGGGCGGGGAGGAGGTTCGAGGATAAATTACGACAGTTCGTTTTGAGAAGAAAATCTGTATCAATTGTCACTGACGGTCCCTTCGGCATTTATATACTTGTTGTCAGCCGTAAAAGAACCGGCTCTTCGGCTTTGCATGCAAATATTCACGTTACCCGCTCATTTTTTCTAAAGTAGAGATGTTAATTAAAGTGTTGTGTTGGCTTTGGTTTTTGTGTCTTTCACGGTCTTTCCTTTATAGACACTGGTATCAAGCACCTCCTTGTTCGCTCCGGCACTTTGCTATTCATCCTTGCTGTGAGCGTGGCAATGCCTGAATTTCACAAGTATGCCTCGCTGATCGGTGCCTCATCAATGGCGCTGAACAATTTCATCTGTCCTGCGCTCTTCTACTACAGACTGACATCAGCTACCGGTAACACACTGCACCGTGCTCAAATTGGCTTCTTGCTGTTCGTGTTGGTCATTGGCATAGCCATAGGACTGGCAGGGACCTATGTTGCGCTTAGGGGTATTATCGAGAGTTCCGCGGTGACGCCTTGCTAGTCCCGAGTGCTTTCTATAAGCAGCACCTCGTCCTGAGCAGTGGTCGTGCACTAACAAACTACAGCATATTTATTTTTAAATTAATTTAAATTATGATTAGCCCCATTTCAGGGATTGCTTTTCAATTTCTGGGGGTTCTAATTTAAATTCGGCGCTCATTCCCTTCCCTTCTGGACCCATCACCTGAAATCAGTGCTATGGACCCATCACCTGAAATCAGTGCTATGGACCCATCACCTGACTGAATCAGTGCTATGGCTCTGTGAAAGTCATTGTTTGTTTTTATTTTACTTCACCAAGTGAAGCCGGGGTCAGTTGAGAGCACGTCGGGAGTGTGGACGGCTCACTATAATCAGAAGAGTCCCGCATAATCACGGGGCTAGGGACTCTTGCTCATCGTCACCTCCAAACCAAGAGCCCCCCCCCGTCCTATTTTTTACTCTCTTCTTAATGTATTGTTGTTTGTCCCTGACATGTTTTCTCACTTCACGCGCCTGAGTAGATCTACTACTACCGTAAAGTACCGCCAGAGCGCCCCACCATCTCATCCTTTCGTGGTCGTAGCGTGGAGGTGGTCTGCTGTCTGTAGGTCATACGACATGAACCTTGTACACATATTGCACGGTTTGCAGTCAATCCGTACCTTCGAGTGGACGCAAGCTCCACACAAGAACCTGCCAAGTGTGACCTTAGTACACTAAGATTCTCACATCGTACACACTTCGTTGCACTCTGCCATACGATTTTCCTTTCTCTGGCTGTAAAATCAAGGTGGGGCGCTCTCGCGAGACGGGGCGCTCTGGCGGTACTTTACGGTACTACCAGGTGCGTGCCCCGGCCGTATGGGTTCCTGGGTGCCCGGAACCCCCTTTTTTGCTCAAAATGCAGGATTTTGCTTCATTTTTTGAAATTTTTTCCCGGTGGGCAAGGCCCCGGAACCCCCCTTGAAGGGCACCGGCGCACGCGCCTGACTACTACCGTAAAATCCCGCCAGAGCGCCCCTACCTCCGCTACCCTTCGAGGAGGTCCAGGTGGGGAGGGGCGGATGGGCGAGTCCTACTTACCGCATTCAGTACTATATGAAAAAGTACTCACCCTACGAAAACTGTTCGTGCATCTCGAACACCGACCAAAGATCAAGAGCCAGGAGTCGTACGGACCCATCAAAACTCAGGGTTTTGTGCGGTCCCTGGTTAAAGAGGGTGGGCACTGTTGCGTACATTTCCAACGGGGTCGAGCATGCGTCTGCAGAACAGTACGACTCGTACGGCATCACAGAGTCATACGAGGATACAATCAATCACTTCCCTGACAAGAAGTCCGGGATGGGCGGATGGGACTGGAGGTGGGGCGCTGCGAGTGGCGGGATTTTACAGTTGTACAATACTGTCGCCGCGGAAGGTTGTTGTTGTTGTTGTTTCTTTATTTTACTTCACCATATGAACAGGCAAGACTGCCTTCTCACCGGGGCTGTTGGCCCACGGCTCTCACAATATGATGAAAATGTTTAAAATGTGTATGAAGAAGAAAGGAACGGAAAAGAAGATGAAATGAAAGGAAAGAAAACAGTAGGTATTAATTTTATGAAGGGGGGGGGTATGAAATGGGTATTATCATAGTTGATGAGAGAAGTATGATATACAATATTCTTGTTCTACAGACTATTTAGTACGGGCATTTCATGAGAGTCATGCATGGGCAAGGCAGGATTTGGACTAGGATAGAGGACAAGAACATAATTGATGAGCATCTGTTCAGGCAGAATCTGTGAAGAAGACATAGTAGGCACAACATCGGAGAGCTAGTTGACGAGGGAGATGAGGTCATAGCCAGACAGCAATGCTTGAAACGTGTGGCGTACGTCGCAAGCGCGAATATCAGCAGGGAGAGAGTTCCATGTGGTACTGCCAACAAAGGCGATAGAGCTACGGCCTGAGGGACCAGGTAGGAACGGCACTCTGAGCAGCTGGCTGACCTGACCACGCGTGACACAACTTCTGTCCACATCCGTGGCAATGAGGGAGTAGTACTAGTAGGATTGGAACAGTGAGCTGGCTCTGCCATGAAGGCAGCGGAAGACGAAGAGAAGCAGACGTTGCACGTACAGCTGGTGGAGCTGAGGCATTGATAGTGAAGGTGAAGAACTGAGCGTCAGCCTCCTCAGTCTAGTAGCCGCAGGCTAGGCCGTCACTCTCGGTCTAGTTTTCATTGACTACAGTCTATGCACAGTCGAGTCATTGGTATGCATTGGTATGCTGTCAGTGTGCTTGGCGAAATCCTAGCATGTTCGTTCTCCGACATTCCCTTCTTCGGCACCCGACAGTACTCTACTGTATGTACATGTATCTATTAATTTTCTTATTGTTCAGCACCGAAGCCATTTTATAGTTTAGGCCTTTCGTACCATTTATTTTCAAGTCGAATACAATGGCGATTAAAAAGGTAGCAAGCAAGTCCTTGTAACCACACTTCAAGTAGTGGCACCAACTACATGTACATATTTGGCCGGCGGTCAGAGGGATATTGTAATTGACATGGCAAATGATATGATCGTCTAGTTTCTAGCTCCCTCTCCTCCTCCCCATCTCTTCATAAATTTATGACACTGTGCCTCTCGTTATTCGGCCCATTGTTATTGGATACATTTGTCCGTTTTGGTCAGCGACTCAAAAATAAAATCAACAACAACAACAACTCCCTGAACTAGCTGAAGTGAAGTAGTGTAGTATGAAGAGTGAAGGTTTCTCTGCACTGTATGCAGTGGTATGCGCCAGGTGACCGGTGATCATGCATGCATGCAAGAGTTCATAACCCCATGAACTCTAGTCTTGATGCATGCAGCATGCATGGTGATCCCAGGAATGGTTTTTTTACTTGATTCGAATTTTTTGAATTTTACTATAGTTTTTTAATTTATTTAATTTAATTTTTTTAATTTATTATAATTATTACTGTCTTTTCTCTCATTGCATTACATTTGCGGTGACCTTCTCTTTCTTGTCTCATCTCCTTGCTCCTATTTCGTGTTGGTAACTAAAGCTGGAAGTCTATGTACTGACGATAATCAGCTACGAACATCGCCGCGCCCAATGACTTGTCTCTACTCGGCGCTAGCAGTATTGCGAAATTCTTCTCAAGTTATGTTTATTTGAGAATAATTGAAAGCCTAAAATACTAGTACTCAGTGCATTCAAGTGAAGCGGTCAAGAATCAGTAAGACATATGCCCCCAAAACTTGTGTTTTTGGCTGGAGGGAAGGGACGAGAGATGTCTCCTGAAAAGAGAAGAAATTCCTCCTTGGACTCTCCCAAACGCAATCCGGCGATGAATGATTTATCGAGGCAGTTCTCTGGCTTGTCCGTGACCAGCAGAGGATCATCTTCATCCTCATCAATAGCCGCGAGCAAGGCCAGTAAGCGACGGTTTTCCTTGAGTAGCATCACCGAGCCATCCGACATTGCCAGGGCACTGGGCGGTGGGCATTTCAAAAGTGTGGTGTGCATGGTAGGTGCAGGTATAAGCACGGCCAGCGGTATACCGGACTTCAGGACCAAAGGTACTGGGCTGTATGATAACCTCGCCAAGTACAACCTCACAGAGCCCGAGGACATATTCGACATTGACTTCTACAAGTATCAGCCGCAGCCATTCGTGATGCTGGCTCAGGAACTGTACCCGGGAAAGTATCGTCCTAATGTCGCTCACCACTTCCTGCGCCTGCTGCACGAGAAGAAAGTGCTACGGCGCGTCTACACGCAGAACATTGACGGACTGGAGCGGCTGGCCGGTGTTCCTCCAGAGAAGCTGGTAGAAGCCCACGGGACGTTCTCCACGGCGTCTTGCACCAGCTGCCGTCGCAGTCAGGACCCGGAGGCGGTGCGGCGGACAATCATGGCCAACGGCGTGCCACGCTGCACACACTGTCGCCGCCTCGCCAAGCCTAACATTGTGTTTTTCGGCGAGGACTTGCCCGAGCGATTCCATCGCCTTCGCTCGGTGGACCTGAAGACGTGTGATCTACTGGTCGTGATGGGAACGTCTTTGTCAGTGCATCCGTTCGCCGGTCTTGTTGATGACGTTCGCGCTACGGTTCCACGTCTTCTGTTCAACCGGGATCTGGTCGGTCCGTTTCGCAAGCGTGCTGCTGGTGCTGCTGCTGGTGGCGGTCTGAATTTCTCCCGTCGTCGGCCTGGCTCAGCACCCGACTTAGCTATGCAGGGTGACCTGGCCTCGGCTCTGCACCGCTTCTGCCAAGCTTGCGACTGGCAAGAGTGTCTTGCTAAGCTGGAGAATGAGGATTCGGCAAGTGTGACGCCCTGCGGCGCGAATACTCAGTCAGCGAGCATGAGCGCTGCTGCCTCCGCTTGCCCTGACGGTGCTCCCAGCGCCGCGGGTTGTGATCAGTCACGTGCAGACACGGCCACAGTGACCAGTAGCAAAGGCAGTAGCAGTGGCACTGGCACTGGCAGTAATCAGTCTGCCAGCATATCTACGTCGAGTGCTACTAACACAGGCAGTGGTAGTGTAGCACATACCACTGTGACATCGTCATGTTCGTCGTCTGCGTCATCAGACACGTCATCAAGTGGAAGCTCTACGACAAGTGGGTCATCAACTGGATCCTCCTCGTCATCGTCAGTCTCTTCTACCAGTGATACAGAGACTAGCCAATCCAGCACAGCGGTGACTGATAGTGTGTTTCACAGCAAGCAGGACGACACTGCCGCCAAGTCACATGAATCAGCAGCTCCAACACACACGTCTTCATGCAGCAGTTCATCAAAGGTATCGAGCGTGAGTGTGAAAAGTGAATCGTGCACACCTCCCGAATCCGCTTCTGCAGCAGCAAGAAGAGATGAATCAAGTCGTGCAGACCCGCCAAACTCGGACCCGTCAAATGTTCTGCCTACACAGGAAGGAGTGTCCTGATTCATGCAACATAACTTCCTTCTCCTTGTCCTTTGGTAAGTGTGAAATTTCAGAACACTGCAAATTCATGTAGCATTGTGGTAATGTATTCATGAGTAATGCTTGTACATGGATTGTGCTGGAAGCTGAAGTTTGTGCACTAGCCTGTAGGTCAGGTGATTTCAGTGTTTTGGGGAGGGGTGGAGGTTCCGAGTAGGCATCTTTTATTAGGGCAGCAACGGGCAGGGGTTTGGTCGGGTAACGAGTTCGGGTACTTCTATCCGGGCAGCACGGGGTACCCTATCGGGTATTTTTGACATAGTTTGCACAGTGAGTGTGTACTTGTGCTACATAGAAAGTGTACAGTAAGCATGTAGCCGTGCTTTTTACTGCACCGATACGGAAACACCGTGCTCCAACTACCCGATCGGGTTCTCAGGAGCAAACTGCTACTCAAATACCCGCTCTAATTATGGGTAGCACAGGTACCCTACTACTCGATGACACCCCTATCTTTTATGCTGTAGCTCTTGCTGGAGCAGGGGGGGGGGGGGGGTCATAGTCTTCACAACTCCATGCTATAAGCCAGAACAGATATTTGGCATCCATAATTCCTTTTTTTTTGCTGGGTACTTCACCTTCACCCCCCCCCCTCCCATACGCACACACATGCATCACAGTGTGCTGCACCGTACGTTGCCTCCTCCTCCCTCACCATCGCCACCACCGCATCGTTATCACACAAGCTAACATTGCACGCAGTACCAACAGATCGGTGCATCGAAGGAAAGCAGATTCTGTTTTGGTTACTGTTATCCACAACTATTTCTTTTAAAATGTGGACGTGGGCTTGTGCATGCGCCTTCAACCGAAAATTCCATCGAGTTTCTGTATTAAATAAGAATATGGCTGTCAAATCCTTGTAGGTCAAGGGGAAATTTTAGAGCCGGTTTCAAGGCCAGATGAGCTGGACCGTGTACAAGCGAAATGGAAATATTGGAGGTGCAAGGAGAAAGAATCTCTTGATTAGTGAAAAAAAGCTCTAGATATCAAGCTTACTGTACGGTCAAGATTGGTGGTGTTTGTGTGTGTGTGTGTGGGGGGGAGGGGAGGGAGGGTCATTTATACAACGTATGTATAGAAGTAACGTATGCATTGCCAATCATGGTGTCTGTGGGTGTATTTATAAAGAACGTGATGGTAGTCAGGAGATTCCCTGAGATCGACGACCGATGTGACGCACAGTGTGCAATCACGGGAGTAGAGCTAGGTGCGCTGCACTGTGTGTCGCTGAGCCGCTTGCTTGCACACGCGGATGCCGACTGCCAGGAGAGCCGTGGCCACCGTAAGCGAAATGAGCAGACCGCTCAGGGCTATCACAATGCTGGCAGCGTGCGGACCTGAATGGAAGAGAAAAAAACGAAATAGATACATCCTCAGCACATGTTTTTTGCAGGAATCCTCTTTTTTGTACATATTAGATAGGGGTCCATTGGTAGTAACCAAAATCAGCCTCAGCTCCATTCCAATAGGGTTTACTCAGTTGTGCGTCGAGTGGAGCCTGCATTTTGAGGGTTCGTTTCTGTGCTAGAATGCCTTTTTGCTGATGTACACTCTGTAGTCTGTAGTATTTTGTTTTTTTATTGGCGGGATCCGCGTCAGCATCGCTTGAATGTTCAGAAACACCTCTCTGTAGTGCAGTACGTATAACAGTTGCACAGAACCAGTGGCCAAGTACCGGTATGTGCTGGAGGAGCAAGGAAACTAATCTCCTAATAGTAAAGTGACCAGAAGGATATATATATATATATATATCCCACTAGCTCAAAGGCACCACCACGTCCATTGCGATCTGGGGAAAAAATGAATTGTACTAGCAGGAACTGGGTTACTAGTCCTTGCTTATACTCCACGTAATCTGTGTATTGGAGCGCTGCACTTCTTGTAGTCACATCACCCACGTAATCTGTGTATTGGAGCGCTGCACTTCTTGTAGTCACATCACCCACGTAATCTGTGTATTGGAGCGCTGCACTTCATGTAGTCACATCGCCCAAATGGCATTTAGCAGGAGATTTACCTTGAGAAGGCAGGTTGTATTTGTTGCAGAGTATAAACCCGTTGGATTCTGGTTCTTGTATATCATTGGGTGAATCACCAGGTCTTGCCTGCCTCTATCTAAGTCACATCGGCCAAATGTGCGGCTTCTTATCTACTTTTCGTTGACCACAATTTGGAGAATGCGTGAGCGTGACTGTCTTGCATCTGTTAAGAACCTGCTGTTGTCTGCCTCTACTGTTTTGTGTGATGTGTATTAGGGAATGCCAGGAGCTATACGGTGCAGAGAGAAAGTGGCATGGCACATGCGTGATGTAGGAAGTACACATGCTGTGTGCACGTCTCGGCCACACAATGCAATGTGCATCCTGAGCACGAGGGATCTTCTCACACCTTGCAGCGCATGATCAGGTGGGCAATGGCAAAGCGATCGCCATCGCCATGACCAATGCGGAGCAGCACGCGAGTGCCCGTCGCATGGGCATGGAAACAACAGGCATGTCTACAGCTGTCCCGTTGGATGCTTACGAGTACGCCTACATCAGCGTCAGCCCCAGGGTCAAAAGCCAGCAATGTAGGCACGTGCTGCTTGTCTTTATTAGGCCTGGTTTGTTTAGAACACAGTCATTGGGCGCCCACTGTGCTGGCTTGTGACGTACATCAAGGCTAGGCAAATGGGTGTGAGTAGCACAGACACACCGCCGTGCGACCAGCTTGATGCGATCAAAGAGATCCATGCTCAACGCATGCTATGGTTTGACTGTAGAATTTCATCAGATCACAACCCCTCCCTCCATGTCAGATGGAAAAATAGCATTTCTTCTGCCAGCGAAGGCGTGTGCATCACTCATGGCTGCAGCAGGGTGTGGCATTCTACAGATGTCATTTCTTCTACATAAACGTTGGTGACCGCACAGGCGCTTGATGCCCACGACGAGTATGGCAACCGATGTGTACTAGTCGCATGCAGTGAATGTGTGCTACGCTCACCGGTTCCTTATCACTATATCGGGGTCCCCCCCATAGCACAAAAGAGAACATCGCGATATACATGTAGATTGGAGTGATGACTGGAGAGGAATACTGGTACGCGCCTCCATTCAATTCCAAGGCCTTCGTTTACACTCTCTTTTTAGTATTACCTGCTCTACCTTCTCTCGGCTGCTCTCAGCTACAAATTCTTCCAAATAAAATAAATAAATTCTATCCAAATTTTTGGGCCAGGCACAACTTCAGCCTCTACCAGCAGTGTTCCTAGGCAGGCATTCTAAGTTTTGGTCTTTCCTTTTTTGTTACTTCCATTAGTCATTCCGAATTGAAGAAGTATTTTTATCACACCGACAACACATGGTGCTTGCTATGAAATTTCTACGAATTTTCAACACTATTTTGAGTATTTTCTTCAATGTAGTCAGGTATTTGAAGTGGTGATACTGTGATGGCTTATTGTTCCATGTACTCGCTACCCAGTAGCTTCTATGCGTGTGTGTGTGTGTGTGTGTGTGTGTGTGTGTGTGTGTGTGTGTGTGTGTGTGTGTGTGTGTGTGTGTGTGTGTGTGAGCTGTTGAATGGTGCAATCCCAGCACAAGTTGCTATGGCTTCTGCCATTCGCGATGGGCGTCAAAGGTCAGGTCAGGTGTGTGTGTGTGTGTGTGTGTGTGTGTGTGTATGAAGAGACAGAGAGATAAAAGTGATGGTTGGTTTTCTTGACGTACCTTGTTTGTGACCTTGTGACACGACCGAGTCCTGATCGATGCTGGCTTGGCGTCGCTCTCTGCCGTTATTGTCAGCAGCACCATTGTGATTATGGCACGTAGGCCCGGCACACACCGTCCCCTGCTCGATCAGCAGCATGCACGTCGTGTTAGCACAGACCGTGTTGTCAGCACACGGTGGATAGCAGCGTGTGGCTGACGGCCGCTCCTTGTACTTGCATGCCTCGTCGGTGACCAGTGTGCCGTCAGAGCGTTGGCACCAGACTCGCCGTGCTGTGCCTGCCCATGGCGACGTCCGCCAGTCGAACGTCATGCAGAACGACTCCTTGCACTGACGCGTCATCCAGAGGCGCTCCGGGCAGCTGGCGTGGCTCAGGTCCGGTCCCGTCATGATGGTTCGAAACGCAACGCGCCGGCCCTTGTAGACGGCCGAGGTGTTGATGTTGCTGTTGCAGTTGGCTATGCAGCGCATCGTCCAATCTGACCATGGCGTGTACTGGCACTCGCCGGGGCAGGGAAGCTGGCACTCTTCACTTTCCAGGATCAGCATCAGCTCTTTGTCCAGCTTCTGCTTGGGACCGAGGTCGTCGTCGAAGCACTTGAACGGCTCCACGAGCTCGCCGTCACTTCTACGACACGTCAGTATGCGCGACCTCTTGCCTTTGCCACAGTCAGCGCCGTCGATCAGGCACCCGCTCCACGGATAGATCTTGCCGTGATAGCACGGTTTACTGGAGTAGCAGTTGCGCTCCTCGACGAGTTCTGCTGCCGGTGGACACCGGGCAGCACCGCCTCGCTCTCTCTTGACGATGTAGCGGCGTCGGCGCTGTATGCCGGCCGTGTCGCACTGGGTCTGCGAACAAGGTGACCAGCTGCACCAGTCTGACACCTGGCAGTTCCGATAGCACGGCAGCTGGCATGTGCGCGTACTCCGAATACCCTGCGCTTTCTCGCCGCACAGCGTCGCGTCCACCACACGATACTTCTGGTCGAAGCAGACCACCAAGCGGTGCTGCTCCGCAGGGCCACACTCATCACTGTGTATGCGCTGACAGGGTGTCCATGGCCCGATGCTGACATTGTACTGGCCCACACTGCGACGCTGGCAGTGCTTCTCCTGCCGAATATCACTATGGTCACACCGGCCGCCAAGTAGAGCACCACGGAGTGTACTGCGAAGACGATACTTGCTGTTGTGCTCGCATTTGGACCATGCAGTCCACTGCGTCCACAGGCAATCAGCTGGGCAGGTAACGCGGCATGTTTGATTGGATCTCGGCTTGGACAGACCAGCGCAGTGCGCATCGTCGACGATTGGCTTCTCGCCGTTTTCCATATGCTCAAGGCATAGCACATGTCGTGACTGGGTCGAAATGCCTGAGCAGCGGAGATCAACAATCTCATTGCCGCCATTGCCAGAGGGATGGTTTGGATAGCATGGCGCCCAGGGATCAGCGTGCCAGCTGTGTGTGTTGCCAGAGCATAGCTTTTCGATGCACGGCTTAACCTGGACCAGGTCGCGAGGGCACTGCACACCGTTCGACGCCCGGTTTCTGTAGCTTGTGCGTGTGCGCCGCAGCCAGCCATGCCCGCATGGCTGGCTGCAGCTGCTCGTCCACGGCTGCCATGGAGCTAGTTCACAGTGCCGGCGACAGGCTGGTGCGTCTTCAGTGTGCACACGCATGGATTTCTTCCGCCCGGGACAATAATCCAGCGGCAGGTAGCGTCGTACCTTCTTGTCGAAGCAGCGGACAATGCGATTCTGCTCGGTGTGATGGCAGTGGCCTGTTTCATCGTAGCGCGGCAGCCATGCGCTCCAGTCCGAGTACTTGGCCTTGTACTCGCGGCAGGCGCTGCGGGCACACAGCTCGGTTTGCTGTAGCTCGCCGCACGGCTTGGCAAGCACCGACAGCGTCTCCTCCAGGTTGTGCAAAAGGTAGCGAGTGCGCGTCCTATGCCCGGTACCACACTGCGATTCCGAGCAAGCTGTCCATGCTGACCAGGATGAGAAGAGACACAGCTCATCGCAATGCTGCCGACATGGTTCTGCTGTTGCCGGTCGCTCTTTGTGTGCACAATGGTCAGCGGTGACGGGCTTGCCGTCTGAACGCTGGCAGTAGGCATATCGTGTCCTGAATCCGCCCAGGCAGGGTGCTGCTGATACATAGTAGCAGCCACTCCAGTTGCCCACCATCCAGTCGTAGCAAAGCCGCGTCTGCAATGTGCAGCGCTCCGCTTGACTATGATCCTTGCAGGCACTCGTCGTGCTGTCACCATTGCTGGCCTTCAGCTGGTAGCGACTCCTCGACTTGTCCCCGGCTGCGCTGGCAGCACACATGGCAGAGCGTGAGCACTGCACCGCTCTGGTCAGCGTCATTCTCTTCGGCGACACGCACGCCTCTGGGAGGCACGGCCCCCAGTCACCCCACGACGAGTACTCGCATGTGCTCTGGCAGCAAATGTGGCAGATCTCCTTGCGGTGCGGCTTGAACAGGTGAGTGGCCGGGCACTTGCGCTCGTTGTGGACGATCAAGTGCCGGCGCCTGTCCTCCGGGTCGCGCATGATGTTCCCGTCCGGCCTGAGGCGCACGCAGTAGACCGGCCTGTACCACACCCCTCTCTCGCACACGTGGCACGCTGGCAGTGCCGCTATCGGCATGGCGATGGGAAGCGGAGCTCTCCGGTACGCCGCTCGGCACGCTCGCGGAAAGTTCTCGGCGTGCCAGGCGAAGACGCGCGGCTCTGCACTCGGCCTGCACGGTCTTGTCTCAAACTCGGTCGGACAGTGCTCTAGACCCTCTTCCTGGTGTGACCGGTACTTGAGAGTGCGCCAGGAGCTAGAATTGCGTTGACCAACCGGCTCACACGGGGACCAGCTTCGCCATACATTTCGAGCCCGGACCTTTTTCCACGACGGGCACTTTTGAGAGCAGCGGCACTTCTTCGGCCTGACTCCCCACCGCGTCTGGGAAACACATCCCCAGCGACCACCAGGGTTGTCATGGTTACTAAGGCCGCACGGACGCCTCTCATCGACCACGTAGTGTTTGCATTCCCGGTAGCCGCATTCCTTGTTTTCGGCGAGCCGCGGGCAAGGCTTCCCGTGCTCTCCGGGTTCCGTTAGTACTGTTCGTGTGCGTGACTGGTTTCCTGCCGCTGTTTTCCGCTTCGGTCCACACGAGGGCATGTCGCAGTGACTCCACGTGCTCCACTCGCTCACACGACAATTGGCCGTGCACGGTTTGTAGCAGACCTGTGTCTCGGCTGGTTTCTCCAGGGACACACCACCGGTCATGTACCCAACCGCGCACAGGCTCTCCTCCACCGGCCGGTGCGCAGAGTCGTTGCACGCCTGGCAGAAGACGGCACGGATCTGCGTTCCACGTCCGCAGTGTATGTGATCCTCGCCGTTGTCTTGTGACGGCACACAGCTTCTCCAGTCGCCCGCGAACCACTCGTATAGCTGATGGCATGCCGGCAAGCCCATCTCATCGGCCAGGTCCATACTGACTGGGGCCGATTCCAGCAGCTGCGGGCACGGCTGGACTGCACCGAACGGCTGCACTTTAATGCGGCGCACTCGCTGCATAATGGCATGCGTCGGCCAGACGAAGCGCATATTGCCGCTGCTTGCCTGCTGCAGTATGCAGAGCTGAGCGTTGGCTCTGTGCACTGCTTTCCAGCTGTTCCACTCAGTCACCTGGCAGTCCTGTGGTACTATACATAGCTGACGTACTGGTTCATTCATGCCTGGGACCGTGGGATGCTGACGGCGACAGTGGTGATGCTCTACAATGGTGCCGTCCGGACTCCTCATACAGACCGTAGTTCTCTGGTGGATGCCAATAGTGGGCTGTTGGTATATGCTGATGTCTCTGGCTGGACCCAGGCCCACCTGCTCTGCATCTACCATACACCGATCCCACTCTCCTGCTCGCAGTACATAACCGGATGGTGGTAGCTCCTCGCCACTGCTCGGCTCACACTTCTCCATCTGTAGCGTATCTCTACAAATCTCAGCACTGTCCTTAGGAAATGTCACAGGGATACGATTACGTGTCCTGCAGCGCTCCCTGCCACACAGCATAGCACACGGGGACCAGGAACTCCAGCCGTCGTACGCACACATCGGTATCCGTCCGTCCACGCAGTCAGCGTCCTGAAAGCGACAGTTGCGCCGCCGGCGCGGTGCTTGACGGCTAGCGAACGCCTGGCAGAGCGCGTCAGACACTGTCGAAGCGCTGGCACGGTGTTGACAGATGACACGTCTGGTTTGTGTCCGAAGTTTCGAAATAGCATCACCGCCTTTCGTCGCATCGCTACTACCGTTGCTCTTGTTCGTGCTGTGGCAAAGATAGCTGCATTTCGTCCATTCGTGGTGCACCCATTGAAAATCGAGTGGCGAGTGTCTGTAGCATGGGCCATTGCAAAGAGACCAGTTGGCCGGACGATCAATAATTCTGCTACACGTGCTATCGCTAAGTATCCGCCGCTGTTGAAATGTAGCGTTCACTTGTGTGCGCTGAACGCACAGCACAGTGCGAGTCCGTATTGAGACGGTGATGCTGCAGCCGAGACGCTCGGATCTGTCCACACTGGCCGAGCACAGCGACCAGTTGCCCGTCTCCCAATCAATGACAGTTCTGCGCTTGACGTGCTGTCCGTCGCAAGTCCTTCGAGTCGACGACGGCGACGAGGCTGCAAGCGACACACTGCCCGCTGCGGCCGCCAGAGCTGATAGCGCTAATGTCGATGACGGGGCGAGTCGGGCAGATAATCCTGCAGCTAGTTCTACTGTCAGGCCAGTGGCACCGTGCTGTGCTGGTGTGATGCTCAGGATGTCAATGATAAGCGCGGCGATTAGGTAGTGAAGGAGCGCCGTCAGAAGCAACACAGAGCCTGACCGTTCGCCAGCACAGGCCTTGGTCATTGCCATGCGACGCCGCGGATTGACGCCCCCAGACCAGACCGGAGAGATGAACGCTCCGGGACTACCCCCTCTCTCTAGCTGCACACACCGCACGCACTCTCCAGCTGCAGAGGCGTGGAGCATCGAGCTGAAAGAAAACAGCTCCTGGGATACTAGAGCGTCTACTCCTACCAGTGGCAGTCCTAGTACCGCAGGCCGTCGGACAGTAGATCTACAAGGCAGCACTCAAAATATCCCAGTACGAGAGCCATTTATAGGGATTGCTTGTCTAGCACTGGCAATCCTGGACACGATACATTCAATCATTTCAGCAGTGCTCTCAGTTTCAGTACAGAGGTCAGTGCACCCTAGCCCGACAGGCCAGCAGGATTCTTGATTTGTGCCTCAAACCTTCGCCTCTGAAGCGCGACGACGAGCAGTGAATTCCGGGCGAGGTCAGTGCTGCACTTTTATGACGTAGCGCTGCAGTCACGCTCGCCCTCTGTGGCTTTCGGTGCGCGGCGGTGCCTTCTGTGGCGAAGAGCGAAAGGTGACTCGTCTTGTGCTGTCCGGATAATCAACTCCAGCGCGTATTGTTCTTATTGTTGTAGTTGTGCGTTGACTTGAGGTGGTGAATCCTAATAAGATCAGCGTTGTTCGGGTTGCACATGGGAATCCAAACAGCTTTAGTGCGCAGCAGCACGCCCCTTTCCAGCAGTGCGTTCTCACGTCATGTACAAGCGGCTTACACTGCCATATCCTCGTCACGCTTCCTCTCTGACTTGAGAGCAATACTGAGTTGCAGTCCTGAAACTACTTGTGCACGCAGCGACTCTGCTATTCGCAAACAATATTCTTGGTGGAGTGGAACGTTTCGCACCCGGTGAAGGCAGACCTCTACGGCGTTGCAGATGGACAACGACAGAGCCAGGGACACGGTCCTACTCCTCATGTTATGCACAGCATTACGTTAGTGCAGTCTAAAAGGCGAAGGCACGGCGCTCCTGACCTAGAGGTAGCACGTTTCAGAAAGGGCCCCCTAGTTGACAATCATCTCCTCGGCGACTGCTGTGTCGTGCATCAAGAATGACATGAAGAAAACAACTGCCCAGCACAATGCTGTCAATAGGTGCTTACTCAGTCTCCTCTGTGGGGAAAAATCGATCCACCGACAAAACACATAGGCACCCCAATTGAGATGGTTTGTAGAGTCGCTTGTGGAACGCGATGTAGCTGTCCCAAGTGACTCTCAGAGACCTTGAAAGGGCCCCGAAGGGGGTGCGCTGCGATATCTGAGGCTGATTGGATGCCAGCGGACCTTGAAGTCGAGAAGTGAGTGACAAGACAAGATCGGCCTCGGCCTCAGCTGCGAGCTCCAGATCTTACTCGGCTGCAGCTAGCAGTAGCAAAGAGAGGGCGAATGAGTCAGCCTGGGAAGCGTTCCAAGCCAAAGCTTGTGTGGTATCTTCGAATCTATGCTGCGTATTGAGTGCCGGCGGCCACAAAGTGAAGGTTAATTGGCAGCTGGATGTAAAATTCTAGTAGCAGTTGGACGTTTTCAACATGGTGTCGTACGGCTCGCTTTGGCCTTCAAATGCCATTCCACAGAGGCCAGGCACACAATTTATAGGACAATCAGGTATTGGCGTGCGCGTGCACTGAGACACACTCACACACACACACAGCTCTGCTTCAAGCGCTTAGTACCAGTAATAGTAGACCTACTCAGTGCCACTGCATGTAGCGCTGTATTACTAAAATTAGTGGAACACTCTCCTACTCCCAGGTCAGGATCTCGACTCCTTGTTCCAGCACAGGGCAGTAGTGATCTCATACAGTACTCCCTGTGGAGTCGGAGTCGACCGCTAGGGTTGCTACTGGAAGGTAGAAAAATGTAGAGCATCGCTCTAGGAGGCCGAGACTGATGATCGCAGTGAAGCCACATCTATCAGTATCTTCGATCTCGCCCCACGCTGCTGTGCCAATGTCACCATTGCAGACACAGCTATTTCCCAGGACACGGTTTCCGCGTCCGTGCGAGCGTGTGCTGAGCGAGCGAGAAAACTCGGAGCTTCCACGGGGCTGAGCTAGGCTGAGTTGACCATACGCAACGCGTTGCGTATGGTCAACTCAGCTAACCTGTCCCACAACCATAGCTAGGCGGTGGTGGGAAAATGGCGCTCGGAAGTCGGTCACTTCAGAGCGTGGAGCGCTTCCTCTGATTACTGACACGCTCATCACCTCGCGGGACGAAAGGTCGCGGAGGTCGCCCGTGCTACCGCGCTGACCGATACCGAGAGATACGCTCGCTACTCAGCTTCGCTTGTGCTACGCCCCCAGCGAGGTCAGAATGATGTTGTTTCAGCGTAGATCTACACACCATTTCACGCGGGTGCACAGGCTCGCTGGTCTGGCGGTGAGATGGAGAAGTCGGTGCATTACATGTGCTGTTGATGGAGCGAACCAAGATTTGAACTGGTCACTGAATGCCGCTGCGTGAGCAGAAGCCTTGAAAACTAGCTGACTGCATTTATCTCATTGGTCGACGATGTGATAGCCAGTGAAATGACGTTATTATTCACGGCGTAGGCAAGCAGGTAAAGCATGAATGCACTAGTAGTGGTAACGTGAATATTATCTGCTCTGAAAAAGGTTCCGCGGCAGCGTGGCAGCTGCATTATCACATCACTCTACAAATGCGATTTGCACCTACGAACCGTGAGCACAAGCCTGTTGACGCCCGAGGATGAGGTGACGTTCGCCCGCTTCAGGCAGTCTGCCAATTACCATCCTCACCCGTTTGCTGGCCATGAACGACAGGAATACGGTGGTGAACCATCCAGGAAAACGTTATGAGCCAGATCTTCGAGCCTCTTTCTGGCATTTAGGCTGCGGAAAGAACGGGTGTTAGAACTTTGGTGACTTTTGCCTGGTACTTTGGCTCCAGGACTGACAGCACGCCACCTTGTGACCTGCCTGTACCAATTTAGAGCACTGAAACGGAGAAGTCGCTACGTTTCTGTTGCCACGGGTTTCACAAAGTCTTAAATTGACAGGGCCAAGTGTCAATGGCGGGAACCGGTCATGTGGGAAACTAGCATTTTCTCCCAGCAACGTGTTCCTTGGCGCCTTGACTGCTTGAAGATTCACGGACATGCTCTCTATTCTCTGGAGACGCCGATGAATTGCTGCTGGTTCTTTTTCTCGAGTTCTGTCTCCAAATTCTCTGGAGGCCATGCATCATTCAAGACACTTTCTTGACCTTTACTGGATTTACTCTTGATCTTCAATGCGTGTCGTTGTGGCTCTTGGAACGCCCTGTGTCTGCCTGATTCATGGGGCTTGGATTTGGCGAATTCTCGTGGGGATCTTGTACGCGGGCTTGTTCAGACGGTGCCAATTCCCATTCGCATGGAGTATTTTGGGCCCTCGCCATTGTTCGCCTTGGTGAGACTACAAGCATTGTGCACCAGAAGGCCATTGACTATGGATCGACCACGGCCTTGCACGAAGATGTGACAGGTAGATCTACAATATTGCTGTTGTTCTGCTGCAAACAGGGGGCACGCAGCACGAGTGTTACAAACTATGTGTCCCACCACTTGCTGCTGGCAAGTGATCGAACGTTCACGATAAATCCCCGTCTGATCCATAGCGAGTAACACTGCCAGCTAGTCTATGCTTGTTTTCTACTAGCGCAGAGTCACCCAACCCTGCACTTAATTGGGCTTCCTCTAGTCTTTACTTGCGAGGAGGGCATGCCAACACTGCTGCTTTTCCGTCTCTAGCGACCACAGACGGACACGGTGTACAGGCGGTGTAATACTAAAGCCATGTACGTCCCACGATGGTATTTGACCATTGTGGACAGACTCAGTGTACTTGTCGTGGCTGTTACTGCTATAACAGTATAACTATAAGTTCTACTTGCGTCCCGTTCAATCATAATAGTAATTAATTATAATTGTTTGCCTCGCGGGGTTTCCAGACCCAGCCACGATGGTCTGGACAGAAAGGGCGAGCAGGACTTCTCTGCTCTACATTGTAACGCACCCCAATGCATAGCCTGTCTTTGGAGATCTGGTCTCTAGAACATTGTTCAAGGTATTAGTAGGGCTTGAGAGCTAGCTAGTCCTGGGTCCTGCCCTCAACCCCTCCGGTCGTCTACCCATCACTGTGTTATACATGTTATACAATAATTATACTATTCTGTTGAGTAGAGTGTCAGTAGGTCTACGTAGTACACAGCTAGTACAGTACTCGTAGTGAAGTTTCCGCCAGTCTCTGACACTGAGTGTGATGCCTGTACTGTTGACCCAGGCTTACTGTATCCTTCACTTCACTCTTCAGTCTGTGAGTGGCTCTCTGCGCAGGGAATCATGTACAGTATGATTGTGTTTAATCCATGCCAGATAAGTAGGAACCTGGCAGAATACCTACAGAGGGAGAAAGTGATGGTAGAAGCTACATTGTACATGCACTGACTCGAACATTTGCCAGAGGCTGTTAAGGAGAGTGACGGATGCAATCGTGTAGTGCTGTACTGTACATGAAACTCGAGGGCATCGTGGGACTTTCTTCTTCTTCCTTTAAATGTTGACATCAAGGCGACAAGAATGCCATGCATATCGAACCGCCGAAATCCCGAAGTGCGTTGAAGCATGACCCTCGAATCATCGCGTGACGTTTTGAAGAAGACCAGTGGCGCATCTGGAGAAGCTCATGGAGAAATCAGAGGCCACAATGTTTGCTTTGCTAGAAGTTCGTGCCAGAGACTCTGAGAGTAAACTCCCTGGCTATGGCTCTTCCATCATGGACCAACACGAATTCTGAGTGCTGTTCCAGGCACAAACATTCACTGTATCTGACTGCAGTCTTGCGACAGGAGCACCGCCTCGCATTGCTGCCGTTCGTTCCACTTTACAATGGGATTACCTGATTCCTCTCTTCCTGCCAATCGTGTACATGATGATCAGCCCCTCTCCCAGTCAGAGACGCCGCCACGCAACAACGACGTCACTCCAACAGAGACACATCGCGGTCACAGAATTCTCCTGTTCTAAAATAACATTCGTAGCTCGTGCGCGTGGAAAACTGTGAATTCTCGAACGTCGCAGCACGATGGCTGGTACTAGTACTACGACCGGAGAACAAGGCCATCTGGTCGTAGGTGTTGTAGGAGTTCCCTGATATACTGCAGCTACAGATCCCACTAGTTAGCTTGGCTTGATAGAATTTGTTTCTCATACACGCTGTGGCAGCTCTGGAACGATACCCTGCGGTCATGTAAGATGATCTGGTCTGGTAAGCCGACACGTCTTGAGAGACCTGGTCGTGGTGAGTTGAAAACTTAGAATTTAGAGTTCCAAGCAGGTACAAGCACGTACATAGTACATAGTAAAATAAAGGGGGCTATGAAGGTGCGGTTTCTTCTGCATTCGCCCAGTACGATCATGCAGTGGGCTAGTGGCGTGTACAGACGGTGGCCAACACCCAGGATATACCAGTTCCAACAAGCATTTCTCACTTTCTCCTTCCTCCCGGGCGTTGCAGTGTTCCCTTCGAGTATCGTGGCCAATGATGATTCACCGAAATTATCGCAATCTAGTGCGTTGTACTTCCATCCATCATTATCTCTTCAGGCCAGAAGCTAGCCTATAGTATATACAAGAGTACATAACCCCGGGGGGTTATGTACTCTTGTATATACGTATAACTATGAGTGTAGAGACTCGAGACGCCATGCCAATGCCATAAGCATTCATAGTCGTTTTGTTCTAACAGAAAGGTATGCGATACCGAGGATATTGTTCAGCAGAAACTTCAAATTCGCTCTCTTGTTCTCTCTCTATATTTCTTCTGTCTCTCTGTCTCTCTGTATGTACATGGATCTCTCTCTCTCTCTCTCTCTCTCTCTCTCTCTCTCTCTCTCTCTCTCTCTCTCTCTCTCTCTCGGAGGAGGAGGAGGAGGAGGAGGAGGAGGAGGAGGAGGACAAGACACATTCGCTGAGCTGGCAGCTCCACCAACCCTACCCCTTCTCTGGGTATTGTTTCTGCTAGAACTAACAAACCTAAAATACAGTGCCGGGGCATGCCAGGCTTTCAAGCCTTCTTGGCGTTGATTAATCACTGCCGGTTGTTTGGCACGCCTTGGTTCGCCGTGGTAAGCAAAGAAACTACGGGTCAATTTGCCATCATTACCGTCTGTGTAAAGAAAGGAAAGGCCTTTTCGCGAAACCTGCGAAACCTGACACGAATTCTCGTACCACATCCCTGGCCCTTGACGTTACGTTACATGTACACTAGTCATGTATGTAGCATAATTATGTACTGGTAGAAAAGAAAACGCGCCTCTAAACGACCATGATACTATATTAGCGAGACCAGTACAGTGAGTTCAAACATAAGACTCGAGTCGAGATGTACGCGCGGAGGCGCATGGGAAGTGATCGCCGGATACTGCATCCTTCCCTATCTCATTATCTTTGCACCCAAGCCATGTCTACCCGACATTTCCTCAATCAACTGAGCACAGCATACGTAACGTAGGCTATAAACAGGTGGTAAATAATTATGCATGCACTTTAGTATTATTGTGTGAAGTGGTGCATGCATGCCTACTTAGGAAACTCTATGTCTATGTGTGTACCATGGTGTACTGTGGTAACCTATTCAGC